TAAACTCGATATAAATAAAATAAAATTGGTTATTTGCTTACTTCACTCGTATTTATGAAGCTACATTCATTTGAGTCATATGGAACACTAGCGCCACCCCAACCTCTGCCATTTCTTGGACAAATTTTGTCAATTTTCCCGTATGAGTTCGTGCTCCTTATCTAGTCTCCATGGATAAGTATTTCAAATCGATTTAAAATTTAACCCCAGCGCCATCTGTTAGTCACTACCTGAACTTATTAAGAAGTATAAATTCAATTCAGTAGCCATCTACTGGTAACTATCTAAATTTATTAGGAACTGCACCTCACTTGTTTGTAGTTTTCTATCAACGGTTAGTCCCCAGACGAAATAGCTGGTAGACAAACAATATTAATTAAGGATAGTGTCTTCTAGATGGCGCGGATCATATGTGGAAAATTTTTAAACAAATGTATTATATTCATAATAAATAATTAAACCTGACTTTCCCCAATTCGACGTTTCGTTTGAAACGAGCTACGGAAATATTTACGTTGAACATTTGAACTACTTGAAATTTGAACTTTGATTTTTGCAGTTGGAACGTACCCTACATTTTGTAACAAACAAAAACAACAAATCGTACAAAAACAAGGTTAGATACTGAATATCGAATCGAAGTAATTGTGCCGAGTGTTTCCTTATTACCTCAACTTATAATTTATGTGAATAGCATGTTTGGCATATTTTCTGCAATAGGAAGTTTCATTCGACTTGGACCTAGAGAATATGTAAGACAGAAATTCAAACTACCATTGGTGAAATTTATTCACGATACCGTGAATCTGTACAAATCCAGGACAAAAGCTGGAGTAAATAATGTCAGAGAAATTCTGTTTAGGGGCACAGTAATTGCATTAATAACTGCTCTACTAGTATGGCTATCAATATTTATGTATATCGCATTTTATTATGTATATGTACCTACAATATCTCATGAACGTGCCGTTCACTTAAAATTTAGGTAACTATCAGCGAATGAGTAAAAATTCTATTTTGATACATTGTACTTTAAAGGCCTTGTGGAACGGGAGATAGCTACAAGATAATAAAAGGAATATGTAGTTTTCCGTCAGCTCACGTGCAACTAACCAACAGACAACAACTGCTCATGATGGGGCAACCCTATAAAATACATCTCGACTTAGACATGCCTGAATCTCCTACGAATCGGGAACTTGGTAAGTTAAACGTTTGTAGATTAAAAGTAATTCAGGCTTTTATTATAAATAAATTCTTATATTACTAGGTAGTTGTTCTTTTCAATATCCAGGATAAAGAGGAATTTAAAAAATGACAGTTCTTATATGATTTATTAATTTATTTATGTTATACATTTTATAAATACCTAGATAAGGTGTAAATTTATAGTATATAAATTGATAGTAAATCAATTTTTTTCTCCTATTGATTATTCCTTCTGAAATTTTTTTATATCTGTATTTCCTAACCTCACATTATGTATTACGAAGGAGATTTACAATTTTTGATGCCATTGCAATGAAATGTGTAGATGATTATAAACTAATTCAGAAAGTCTACTGATATGCAGTTGAAATTTTTAGGTATGTTTATGGTTTGTGTGGATTTCAGAGGTAAGCGGGGCCAACTGCTTGCTAATTCATGTCGATCAACAATGCTTCATTATAGAGGCTTTATGTTAGATACGATATACAAATTGATATTCAGCCCTTTCTTTGTATTTGGCACAGCAGAAGAAAAACAAAACGTTCATGTAGAACTTTTTTCCGATTATGAAGAAAAAGAGGTAAATTTTTTGTTTAAGCCACCGATGCAAAATGAGTATGCTTCGGTACGTACTAGTATAAAAAAATCAAATTACTATTATTATCTGACGTACTGTGTTCAATTTTGTTTTAGCACGAACCCGTGACGGACATTTATGTGGAAATTCAGTCCCGATTTATAGAGATTTATTCGGCAAAAGTTTTGGTAAATGCCCAGTTTTCTGGCCTTAGATACGTGATGTTCCACTGGCCGGTTCTGTCTGCAGCTCTGGGTATGTTTTTTATTTATCCCATTACTGAGGACGATTACGAAAGTTTTAGGACGTGATTTAATTTATGGATCAGTTGCACATTAAATTACAAATAAACTAAAAACAAATTTCTGTATCGTTTTGTTTTTATTCGTTTCTGGTGGTGTATACAGGCTGTTACAAATTCGCTTCTCAATACAGGGATCTCGGAAACGGCAAAAGTAGCTTAAATGGGGGCAAAGTTGCGTAATCAGGGGACCAACATTATGCCTCTAAAAAATCAAGGCTAACTTGATTAGTTTTCGAAAAACACCGAAATTTTGGAAATCCATTGTTGTTTAATATCAGCCTTGTTTATTTTTTGCAAGCCTTGGTGACCTTAAACAAGGCTGAAATGAAACAAAAATGGATTTCCAAAATTTCGTTTTTTTTTTTCTAATATTTCGAAAACTAATCATGTTAGCCTTGATTTTTTAGAGGCATAATGTTGGTCCCCTGATTACGCAACTTGCCCCCATTTAAGCTACTTCATAGTTCTTACCGTTTCCGAGATCTCTGTAGTAAGATACGAACTTGTAACAGCCTGTATAAGAGTAGTTCAAACGACCCTTTGGAAACGTTCAAATAAGGACAAGTATACCTAAAATTTTACTTTTTAGTTCATCGAGTAAAGCTCCCCTCAACTTTTTGGAGTCTATATATGCCACTGTCTGTATCGATTGATTTTAAAGATAATCTCTAATGATGTATTTTATTTTTCAAAATCATAAGCCTTTAAACTTTTAAATTTTTTCTACTTTTTAAAAATTTGGGCATTATACTTTTGTCTACTTCATTGAAAGCTTATAGATTGGTTATCTACTCTTTTATTCCAAATCTAAATAATTTTAACATAATGCAAAATTGTGATTAAGCGATATCTTCGTTTTTTTCCTACTTCAGCACCGGACATAAAATTTTGAATAACGTTTCATTTTAACTTCTGATTTTTCTACTGCTACAGATATTTTAATATTCTTAAAACATACAGAAACAGTCACAAAAAGATTAATTAAACCTCAATAATTTAAAATCTACCGAAGTCACCAACGTAAACTATTGTCCGGTTTTATCGACTCGATAAACAAGAACTTCATTAAATTAATTTATTACGTTTTTTATTATATTAATGACAATTAAAGTATATTGTTGTGTCGCAGATAAACTTGATAATATAATTAACATTTTTTACTTACCTTCATTGATACTTACCTGTTAAAATTGTGTGTTAATATACACATTAAGAAAATATAAAAAAATACCTAGCCACTATTGTTGAAAAGCTTTTTTTATTGACATATTTTACAAAAAAAAGAGCTTGTTAGTAAAAAAGTTAACGTGTTAATTAATAAAAAACATCCCTGGACCCATGTATTGTATATTTAGCTTCACAAAGGCATGTTCAAAAAAGTTATTCTTTTATTCTTTATTTTGTTTAAACACCTATTTTATTACTTTTTGTTTTATTCGGCATGTGCACCAATGCTAAAATTTCAACTAGCACAAATAATACGTTCCTCAAGATATTTAAATGTGTATTAATTTGTAGTAATCAATAAATTTAGAACTTACCAATAATTTACTGATAAGTAATGAATATGAGAGCACACTTATTTCTGCTCCACCTTATTAACGGTCTTTCAGTCAATTAATTCATGTCGTAGGTTATCAGTTTAATGTAAAATGATCTAAATTTTTACTTTGATCGGTGGCCGTCTTGTTAAATGCTATCAATAGTTTTAGACATGTTTAGTAATTTTTCGAGAGATAAATTTTATATCGTACTAAAATAAATGAGTTTACTAATTATTGTATATTGTTTTTTTTTTTTTTCAGGAATTACGGCCAATCTGTTCTTCATAGCTCTCACATGTATGATAAGCTGGTATCAAATCATACATTCTGAGGAGTATGTGAACTTTATCGAGAAAAATAATGACAAGAAAACGGACAGCGGTAAGTGTTATTATCTCCCTGTAATGATTTACTGTACAGATTTCTTTCGTAAAAAAAAAATTGCCGATCATTTAAAAATGGAAAAGAATTTTTTTTATTTTTGGAGCATTCCTACTGATTTAGTAGGATATAAGACCCCAAAGGCAAGTACTAGAAAAGTTTTGCAAATAAATAATTTTTAGAATCTAACTGGAGGCTTGAACGAAATCTGTATTAAAATTATAAAATACCGACTTTCATATTTATACAATTTTATGTGGTTTATGGATAATTTTTATGTTATATCTAATAGCCTAAATATGCACATATACAAATATCGACACTCAATAACACAAATAGACCGATCAAAATAACTCATTTAGAGGGGGAAAAAAAAGAAAATTATTACCTGGACTTTTATAAGTGGAAATGGTAAAGGTGCTTATAATAAACAAAAAAAAGATAATAAAGCGTGATCAGGGGTGGCGGAGGGTTGATTTGGGGGGTTGAAAAGTTGTGAAAAATTGTATCTGGGATTTCTGGCGAAAGTTGACGTCAAACAAAAAAGTATCCAATACAAAAGTTGTAGATCATGCAAAAATCCACAACTTTTAAAGAGGTCACTTTTTAAGACAAGTTTAAAATTTCCGAGAAAAATGCGAAAAACGTGTTTTTTTCTTATTTTTCGTTTTTTATTTTTCATTTCCGCAAAAATAATTTAATTTTGAGGAAACTTGGTGAAAGTATACCTTTCTGTGTCTTAAATAACCACAATTTTTTTAAATAAAAAAATCGAGATGTTTCCGAGATATTCATTTTTTCGGTCTGAAACACTTTTTTTTCAAAGAAAAATTCTACTTAGAAAAATCATCATACAGAGTTCAGCCGTTGATATTTTTTTTGTTTTGACATATTTTTTGGTGAAATAAAAAATCTGTAATTACAGTTCAAAAATATGCTCAAAAATGCAAAAAAAATGAAAAATGACTTGCAACAATGAATTTTTCAGTAACTGTTGATAATTTGTTTAAATTAAAAAAAATAAATTCAAAATCTGATTACACCATTCAATTGTTAAGAAAAAAATACAGAAAAACTGCCTCATTGTGTTATAGCAATACTGTACAAAAATAATGTTTTGGGTCAAACAATGAGACCAGTTTTTTTTTATTTTTTCTGTACAATTGAATGGTGTAACCAGTTTTTGAATTTTTTTTTAAATTTAAACAAATTACCAACAATTACTGAAAAATTTATTATTGCAAGTAATTTTTTATTATTTTTGCAATTTTGAGCATGTTTTTGAACTGTAATTACAGATTTTTTTTTATTTCACCAAACAGTATATGTCAAAACAAAAAAAATGATCATCGGCATAACTGTGTACGATGATTTTTCTAAGTAGAATTTTTCTTTGAAAAAAAAGTGTTTCAGACCGGAAAAAATGAGTATCTCGAAAACTTTTATATTTTTATATCTAAAAAAAATTGTAGTTATTTAAGACACAGAAAGGTATAATTTCACCAAGTTTCGTCAAAATTAAATTATTTTTGCGGAAATGAGAAATAAAAAACGAAAAATAAGAAAAAAAACACGTTTTTCGCATTTTTCTCAGAAATTTAAGGTTGTCTTAAAAAGTGACCTCTACAAAAGTTGTAGGTTTTTGCATGATCTACAACCTTTATATTAGATACTTTTTTGTTTCACGTCAACTTTCGCCAGAAATCCCAATGATACAATTTTTAACAATTTTTCAACCCCTCAAATCAACCCTCTGCCACCCCTGCTCACGCATTTATTTTTTTTACGTTTATTATAAGCCCCTTCACCTTTTCCACTTATGAAAGTCCAGGTAACAATTTTGTTTTCTCCGAGTGAAATTTGGTTGGACTAAAAGTCATTAACTCGAATAAATGTTTGTTGGTTGAGGTCACACGAAAAAAATCATCAATTGAGTTAGAATTTTATGCAGCTGTCGACGACAACGAAGAGGAGTTCGGTTTAAACTTAGTCTCCATAGGAACTCTCACATTGATGCCGTTTTTCATTGGTTACGATACTTTCTTCTCGTTTAAAACAAGAAGCCTTTATTTGTTACGCTTACCGGCTAGGATCGTAAACTGGGTACCTGGAATATATCCAAAGGTAAACGGTACTAAAAACGTTCATGGAAGAACGAGAGGGAATATTGAAAAAAAATGTTGCAAGTGTAACAAAATAATATGTGCCGTACACAGAAGAAGTGGCTGCGAGGACTGTCTAAGCAATAATAAACTGCTGTTTTTCACATAAAAATTTTATAAATTAATAAATACTTTTATTTAACTGATGTGACTTTATTTTAAAAATGTAACCGTTGGATATTTGCTAAGAAATATGTGCAGATTTACGAACACAGATCATTGCATATCTGTAAACCATATTAAATGTAGTCATAGAAAGAGACGAATTTCGGAGGTTTTTTTTTGCTTTCACATGTTCCAGATTCTGATACGTCATCGTTTTCGGTCGATTATGATGAAGCGTCTTTCTTAGAAGAGAAAATACGGCATAGAACACATTCAAACGGCGATAGAGAACATGTCGAAGAGATCAAGCAACACTAGCGATTGAAACAACGCCTGGTGTGGATAATGTCCGAAGTAACTCTTATAATATTTAAAATACATATATTTTATCGATAATATAGTACGGAGCCGGTACATTTACCAATGTAAATTTTTTTTTATCGACTCCAAATTTGTATCGTACCAGAAACATACATTAGTTGTGTACTATATTTTATATTTCTATTTTTGTTAAAAAAAATAATTGGAATACGAATTCAGCTAAACTCATAATCAGCAGACTGATGTAATCCTTCCTTCTCGAGAATCGTCTTGTATACACTTTTAACGCATTTATTGTACTCCCGTAATATGTTTAGTACGGGAACTAGTCAATTTCTCATCAGCCTGTATTAAACAACACTGTCCTAAAGTTTGGAATAAATTTATTTACGGAAAAAGCCCAGATGTCTCGTAAGAAAATATTCCCGTCGCACCGCAAACCGTTCTGGGCTGAGCCGATCGCCGCCTTTTACAAAATCAGTTACACTACTGTAACGGACCGAAAAAAGCGTGTTTTAACAATTTTTTTTTTAATAGAAGGAAAGGTAATAGAAAAAAAACGTTTAAGTATGTTATTAGGCATGTATTAAGTGTAGAGAAAATTTTTTTATTCAAAAAAATATTTCAAAATGGCGGCACTGTGGCCATTTTCCTGAAGCATGTTACCGGCGAGGCGTTCCGCGGCACGCACTACAACTAGTGCAAGTTTCAAGGTGGAACAGAAAAAAATTGCTCTTAATCTACACGAGTATAGAGAAACACGTACGGGATTGTAAAAATATTGTATTTTGTAAAATTGGCAAGTGTTTGAAGTAAAACGTTAAATTTTTGACAAAGAAAAGGGCAGTTTTTTGTTTATAACAATTGTTTAAATTAACTTATGTGGGTACGCATGTTCGCAAGTGACCCACTTTTAAGAATTACGTCAAGAGCGCCAGCCGGACGCACCAGCGTTCCAGGAAGGGTCTAGGGCGGACTGGCGCCGGCGTCCAGATGCTTACTCATATACCTACGACCGACTCCACACACAGGGACTCTCCAGCAAAGACTCGAACCGACAACACAAGCTTATTCACAGTAAAAATACTTTATTTTACCGTTGGGAGAGCGTTTTATTTTCGCTGTACTGCGAAAGCAACCCTCACTTATCGAAAAATGTGTATGTGTTTCTCTTGAAAATGTTTTAAATACGTGGTTAAAATTTCAAAAGAAAATGTTGAAAATTGTTGGTTGTGGCGCGTGCCGTTTTGAAAAAGCGTGTTTCGAGAAAAACGCGTTTAAAAATTACTCGTTCTGTATAGATTTATTCCAAACTTACCATACTTATATTGAACCAGCAATGTTTATATTTAATATTATTGCTTACTCACTTTTATAGTTAAATGCAGTGGCATTTACATTTTACAATTTAACCAAAGAGGACGTCTTGATGTAGTTATTCTATTTTGTGTGTTAAAGTAAGCTGTTGTTATTTTTATAGAGTTTATAGACTTTTCAATCAATGTTAAAACACTAAATTGCCTTAACTTTTGATAGTGCCAGAAGAATTAAAAATAAATTTAATGAAATTCTAACGAGTGTGTTATTTAAAAAATAGGCAGTTGGCCATGTTTTAATCGGGAAAGTCAGAACACGTGATTTTAAGTAGAATGTTTGACGTGAGTGTAGACCGTAAAATTTTTTGTTTTTGACGTACAGGGTGTTGAAAAAAAAAACTATTGGAAGTGAAAATTTGCGGAGATATAGTCAATTTTGAGGCTCGTATTGATGCCGATTCTACATATGTGATATTTCAGCAGTCTACAACTTACGTTTATAAAACTTAAAACTGTGCGTTCTGTCATGTGATATTTCCGATTAATAGTCGAATCGAATTACTTTTTCAGGTGCCAAAAAATAGTTCCGTATTTGAAAATGTGTGAAAATTAATTAGGAAAAATTCCGTAGAATTCAATGAACTACTTTACCCCACCTGAATTTTTGGGCTTTATTTTCAAAATGACGTCTAAAGTTTGCAAAAAACAGTTTTTTTCTCATTTATAAAAAAAACATTTTACAAAAAAATGTTTCACACAAAATTTGTAAAAATTTTTAATACGGATCGAATAGGTCCAAACCGGGTTTGAACGATAAATAAATAAATTAGTTATTGCAAAAAAACCGCTAAGAATCGCAATTTTTTCAAAAAAGCTGTATCTCTCAAGAATAACTATTTTTTTTATGAAACTTGGTGAAAGGATAGCTCTTGTCGAGCAAAATAAAGTGATTTTTTCAAAATTGTAAAATATTTTATAGTTTTTACAAAAATCGAGTTTTTCGAAAAAAAAGCGTTTTTGTAAAATTCCTATAATTCATAGGCCACTACAATTTTAGGAACAGGGTTGGGCTTAAAATTTTCTTTAATAATTACTCTATTATGTGCAAATATAGCGCGAGCTTCAAATCGATTTTAAATATCGCAAAAAACGATCGAAAAATCGGTTTTCTTTTCGGGGCCATAAAACTTTGATTAACTTTTTGATTTCAATTCGTATCAAAATGTCCATACTGCCATTCGAAAGTTGACAATTTTTCATGAATTAAAAAATTTCCTACGATCGACAGGGGCCGAGAAAAAATAATTTTTTCGAAAAATCGCCACGACCTCATTTATTAATATTAAGTGCTGAAATTTACACATGTTTAACATGTCGAGTCGAAGTGTTACGAAAGAAAATGAGACCAATCGTTGCGGACTACTTTTTATGTTGAAGTACAATTATTCAACTATAACGTGTAAATTTCAGACCTTAATATTAATAAATGAGGTCGTGGAGATTTTTCGAAAAAAAAATAAATTTCTTGGCCCCTGTTGGTCGTAGGACAGACTTTTTTAAATTTGTAAAAAAATTTTAACTTTCGAATGGCAGTATCGACATTTTGATACGAATTGAAATCAAAAAGTTTATGGCCCCGAAAAAAAAAAAGATTTTTCGATTGTTTTTTGCGATATTTGTAATAGTGTAATCATTAAAGAAACTTTTAAGCCCAACCACGTTTCTAAAGATGTGGCGGCCTATGAATTATGGGTATTCTACAAAAACGCTTTTTTTTCGAAAAACTCGATTTTTGCAAAAACTATAAAATGTTTTTCAATTTTGAAAAAATCATTTTATTTTGCTCGCCAAGAGCTACCCTTTCACAAAGTTTCATAAAAAAATATTTATTTTTGAAAGAGATGCAGCTATTTGAAAAAATTGCGAATTTTAGCGTTTTTTTTTTTTTTGCAATAACTAATTAATTTATTTATCGATCAAACCCAGTTTGGGCTTATTCGATCCATATTAAAAATTCCTACAACTTTTGTTTGAAAAATTTTTTCTATGTTTAGTTTTTTTATATAAATGAAAAAAACCTGTTTTTGCCAACTGTGTACGCCATTTTGAAAATGAAACCCAAAAATTCAGGTGGGGTAAAGTAGTTCATTGAATTCTACGGAACTTTTCTAAATTTTTACATATTTTCAATTACTTAACTATTTTTTAGCAAAAAATGAGGTATTTTCGACAATTTGATTGGTTTATAAAACCTAGATCGTACAGTGTACCCTCAACACCTCACTGAAAACATTGAATATGCAGGAATTACAGAAATGCTTCGAGAAAAAAATATTCACCAACACATCACGAAAATATCGAAAATTTATCTCATCACTGACGCTTCCGGAAAAGTATCAAATATTTTGTCAGCGACACGCCCCCGGAAAGTATCAAAAGTTTTATAAATCAATGCGGGGATCGAAATTATTAGAATCATATACGAAATAAATCCAACAACAATAAAATATTTATTGTTTGAAATTGCACATACATTAAAAATGGCGCTAAATGGTATTAGCAGTATAATGTAAGGCATAAAATACTTGACAAATCCAACAAGTTTGTACTGCTATTCTCGTTTAAAACAGTTTTTACATTAAGCTTATTTACAGTGACATGCAAACAAACAAATATATATATCAACTAACCCTTAATGCTTTAAAATGTTTGCCATGTGTGGATATCCCAATATTCATCGAAAAACTAACACCTAAGACAAACCTTAGAAAATTTGAGCGTTAGACGAAAATATCAAATAGGCCGGATTAATTACGTTCTTCTGAAAGCTTATATTTAATTGCCACCGTCGTCCTCGTACTGCTTACGGAAGCAGTCTCCCACGGGGAAGAAGTCCCAGCACCTCTGCTGGTACATATTCCACACGTACGTTTCTTGACCCGTGTATTCTGTGTCCGGTTTGTTTATCAAGTGCATAAGGAAAAACCTGCAAGTTTTAATTGACATTTTATTTTAGGGAACTTAAAGGCAAAGTATACTGACAAAGAGTGACCTACGAATCTGTAGCTGCATTGAATTGTTTCACACCAAGTGAAATGATGTTGAGAGAAATAATGATCAAATTACACCTCCAATATCCAGTAAACAATGATAAACATGTCAAGCTTTCGGCACGGATTACTAAGATCACTTTCTGCTAGTAGGTACAATGTTATATCAGTAGGCACAATGCAACGCTTTGCGTCAGTAGGCACTGAGAGGCAATGACATTTAATGACACATAATTTGTAGGTTATCTCTCACCAGCAATTATCAAACTATGTCGATAGACATCCAAATACCTAAATTGTATGTCGGTCAGACAGAACGAGACATTTCAACCCATATCAACCGATGATACTATAAATTTACTTACGGTCGACCACATTACATAAAAACTAACAAAACGACATCACTTACATGTAATTCGCAAGGTTATGTTCCTGCTGCACGTGAGTATCGAACCCATGGGGAACCTTGTCGAAGTAGTCCTTCCCTATGCCGCAAATAAAGCAGTTGGACTCCATGTCCTCCTTGACGCTCTCGAGTTGATCACGAAGCTCGCCGAAAGCGTCAATGATCAAACCTGGAACAGTCCAAAGGTAATTTCTAAGTCGCTTAAACCCTCCTGGATATGGCGAGCGTTGCGTTTACCTTGAATGATGGCCAACAAGATGACGATAACGAAGAAGAAGAACGTGATGTCAAACATGATGCGGTAAACTTCGTAGTCGTCGCCGTCTGGCGGCTCGATTTCGTCGCCTATACCTCCGCCAGCTCTCACACCCTTGTAGAGGTGGAAAACAAAGCACTGGGAACAGAATGAGATTATCTATCGTTTTCGATTTGAAAAATAGAAACATTTTTTAAATGACCATAAATATAAAAAAGGAATGACCCTCCAAATTTTAAAACAAAATTAAGTTTCGTCCTGTCCTCTACCGAGCACAAATCATAAAAATAATGAATCCGCCGGTATATTATAGATTTTGCGTATGTTATGAAATTGTGTCAGTTCTCCCGAATTTGTATGCCAAACGACTCCCTAACCGAGCGAGCTCACCCTCTCCCTCGGGGATATATATATACATATGTATATAAGAGTAGTTCAAATGACCCCTTGGTATACAGACTGTTACAAATTCGCTTCTCACTACAGGGATCTCGGAAACGTTAAGAGGTATGAAGTAGCTTAAATGGGGGTAAAGTTGCGTAATCAGGGAACCAACATTATGCCTCTAAAAAATCAAGGCTAACATGATTAGTTTTCGAAATATTTGAAAAAAAAACGAAATTTTGGAAATCCGTTTTTGTTTCATTTCAGCCTTGCTTGAGGTGATATTGAAAAAAGAACACTTTCTCCTGGCAAATTTTTGTATGTAACGTTTCGTCTCTCCAGGACCATCATCAACTTCATTTTTTTAAATATGACCCTAGAAATTTTATTCCATTTTTTGCAAGCCTTCATGACCCCCAATACTGTACTGCTTCAGCCTGAACCAGATTCAGACGTTTTGTCTCGAAAAATTCATCTTCATTGTATTCGTTCCAAATTTATCTAAATTTTTTATTTAGATTTCTTTGTTTATTGAATTATCATACACTGTACGTGTCGTTAGACCCTGTGAAATCCATCTAGTTATTTAAACTATTACCATGCGAAAAATTTAATAAAATTTCCAGGGTCGTATTTAAAAAAATTAAGTTGATGATGGTTCTGGAGAGACGAAACGTTACATACAAAAATTGATTATGCCATTCGATAGAGGGCAAAAAGCGGCCATGAGAAAGTTTTCTTCTTTTTTCAATAGCACCTCAAACAAGGATGAAATTAAACAAACACGGATTTCCAAAATTTCGTTTTTTTTTAAATATTTCGAAAACTAATCATGTTAGCTTTGATTTTTTGCCCCCATTTAAGCTACTTCGTACCTCTTACCATTTCCGAGATCCCCGTAGTGTGAAGCAAATTTTCTAATAGCCTGTATACCAAGGGGTCATTTGAACTACTCTTACAAACGAGGCTGAAATGAAACAAAAACGGACTTCCAAGATTTCGGTTTTTTTCAAATATTTCGAAAACTAGTCATGTCAGCCTTGATTTTTTAGAGGCATAATGTTGGTCCCCTGATTCCGCAACTTTGCCCCCATTTAAGCTACTTCGTACCTCTTACTGTTTCCGAGATCCCTGTAGTGAGAAGCGAATTTGTAAGAGCCTGTATAAGAGTAGTTCAAATGACCCTTTGGAAATGTTCAGATAAGGACAAGTATTTTTATTTTTTGGGTTTCGGGGGCAAGGTAAAATTTTGTCCCATCATTCCGTGACATTTTTTTCACTTCTTAACACCTGAAATCTAAGGTTTGGACCTTTTTTTTACACAAAAAACGTTTCGCACATGTTTTTTTATATTTTATTTTAAATATTGAGACATTGTGAAAAAAGCCAGAAATTTAAAGATCAGAGCAACTGACTTGAAAATAATAAAAAAAAACTTTCTAACATTTCGTAAAAAAATCAAACGTTAATGGCACCATATAAAAAATACATTTCAACAAACAAATGCACTCACCGTTAACATATCGTGACATTTCTTGTCGACCTCCTCGTCCTCTTCTTGCACGTAGAACTTCCTGAAGAAATTGAAGGCGATCACCGTGTAGATGTACACGATAATGGTCAGTAGCATCACGGTGAGCACCAGCTGCTTCCCGTTGTGAGTTACCGACTGCAGGATGGTACGCAGGGTCTTGAAACCAACGGCCACGTCGAGCAAATGGGCGGCGAAGAAGAAATTGTTAAAGTTCCCGAGGATGGAGAAGGTGAAATACCAGAGGGAGTACAGGAAGGAGTTGTCCGTGATCGTAACGCCCGATTTCCAGATTTGGTAACGCCAGTCGATGTTGATGATCCTGGAAATTTGTAGAAATCGTACAGGGTGTAAGTTTTTCCAGAGGAAATTAGTTTTTTTATCAGTTCGGTGGGCAGGTATGAAAATTACGAGCAAAAGTTAAAAAAAAAATCGATTACTTACAGAGATATGAGGCTCTTCTTTTCGTCCGAATCCTGCTGCTGGAAGGACGTCTTTTCCATCCCCAAGAGATTGCTTATTGATTCGAAATCGTAGGTCTCGCTATACTTCTGCCTAACCTTCTTCTTCACAAACTTATCCCAGTAGTTCACCGGGAACGACCTGGAACCGACGTTTGTTACATTCAGAACTCATTCAAATGAAATTTAAAAAAATTACTTCGCAGATATAACCAGTTTGTCCCAGTGCGATTTCAGGTCGTCGTCCTCGGGCTGCTCCGCGATGTACAACCCCTCGAATTCCAGACGTCTGGCGATTTCCTTTTCCCTCTTGAATATAGCCAGGGGCACTTTCAGGTGGTAGTAGGCTATGAGCATCGCGAGAGAAACGATCGAATGCAGCAACGCGGCCAACCTCATGACGTGCGCCATATAGTAGAAGTCCTCGTCCACGTGTACCAGCTCCAACGGATCCTCTTCCTCTTCCGAACTTCCCGAACCGGAACCGCTCCCGCCGTCGGCCGAACCTTCCACGATATCCGCCACACCTTTGCTACCGCTGCCGCTAACGTCGTCCGTCAGGTTGGACACCTAAGAGGAAATATCTTGTAAAACCGGCTAAATGCGACGAAACGAACAATCTCGCTCACCTTATAGAAGAGCAACATGAAATTAATACAGAACGCCAACACCAGAGCCACGTACTTCAAGTTGTAAAAGTTCCGAGCGAGGAAGGAAACGGCGCGGTGGCCGTAGGCCGCAAAGTTGATCTGCGACATAGCCGACGGCTCGTTGGTGTGCACCTGTTTGCTTTCCGTTTCGATGGCTTGCATCGCCGCTTGCTGGGCCGCCTGGGCTTCCACCTTTTCTTGTTGCGCCCTCTTCGCTTGTTCGCCACTGGAAAAATCGAACAATAAAAAGTTAAGCATTAGAAAGTTAGCCGATCAATTACCCAAGGAGATCGGACAATGATAACGGTTGTTCTGGCGTTTCTGCTTCCGGATGTTCTCCCGCTTCCTCTGGAGTGGTCTCGCCATCGCCCGACGAAGGTTGGCTGCCGGATGGTGATTCGTGTGCTGCCATCTTGTATCTAATAAAAAAATAATAAAAATATACAAAACAAATACATAATTCAATGGTTAACTTAAATATTCAAAATTAGAAAAGTGGATCATTAAATTGCAGCGAATAAGTCTCACTCCGAGTGACCTACTGCCCAGTAGGCAAATTTTGTACTGATATTGCAGGAAACAACTACTCTGCGGACTAATGCCCTGACCGGCACTGAATATACCTGCAGCGTCTAGAAAACCGATAGGATCATTCATCAGCGGAACCACCAGCCATATACTGGTTTGGAAATTATTAGTAGTATCAGTTGATGAATAAACTATTTACTAGATATTCTGGATATAATTTAATGCTGGTCAAAGTATTAGTCGGCAGAGTAGTTGTCTCCTGCAATATCATCGGTTAAGAAGGTTACATCATTCCAATGGTTTCAGGAAACTTACTGCCCGTTATCCTCCTTCGTTATGTCCAACCCAAACGCCTGCATCTGCGTACTCTGCTCCTCCGTTGACGGTAGCGAGGGCAACACCCTCATCGGTCCAACTTTCACCTCGTGCGCGATCTGAATAACCGGTTCCTCCACTGTGGGTCCCCTCATCAGAGACATCAGAACGCCCAGTATATACTTTATAACCACTGCCACGCCGAATCCCGAATAATAGAAGGCGTAAAATATCATCTTGAAGAAACCGATGAACAACTCGGGGATGGTCATCTGTTGCATCTCCGCGATCTTGTGCTTAATATTGGACGGACTTAGAGAGGACAGTCCGTAATATATGCCGTCTTTCAGTGCGTTGTAAGTTCTCCGGATCGGATCTTTGGCAGCCCTGAAGGAGAGGCGCATAATCAAAAATAAGTACAAGCGGATTAGCCACACATACACACACACGAATCCATTTCTGATATCACGTGTAACACCTAAAATGTGAAAATAATAACAGGTGTTTTCCACTTATACGCTTATGACGAGCGCTGACAATGCCTCAGCTGAAAAATGAAACAGAACAAGTCAAACGTGCAGTCTCAGATATCTCTCTTTTTGCACACAATAAGTGATTTATAACAGTAGAACGTCTCCAGGTCCTGCAGGTGAATATATTATTGGAACGCTATGCAAAACGAACAGCACATTACAATTTTTATGAAGACAAAATTAAGAAGTAGTAAAAATTTTACATTTTACACTCACCTATCTTCATCCTCGTCCGTTATATAACTGTAACTAGTCGCCCGCGTAGGTCCACCGCCTCCGGACTCCTCGACGGCCATCAGACCGCTCGCGTGTTGCATTTCAAAGATGGCGTCCTCGCAGAAATTAATGAAGGCCTCCAGTTTCTCCTTGTCGCCACCCTCCGTCACGATGGAATAGAAGAAGGCCCGTTTAGATTCCTAGAAGTCCAAATACGTGAACGTCCCGCGCTACCGTCCCTTCCCCGCTTACCTTAATCTGAGGCTTCTCCCACTGCTCTATGTTCGACTCCTTGATCTCAAAGTACACCCTCTCTATGCGTTTGCTGCCGCCCATGATCTCGATACGTCCCAGGAACGGCTCGAAATAATTTAATACCGATCCGGCGGTCTCTAGGAACCTCGCCAGCCTGGGTTCGTTCGGCATGTGCTCCGAGAGGTTCGTCAGGAGCACGGCTAAGTTGAAACCGATCTCCTTCGCCGGTTCGTGGAAGCGATCGATGAAACCGAGGTAGTCCAGCTTGCCGTCGTGGTTCGTCTCGCAACAAGCCAGCAGGAATTCTATTTCTTCCCTGAAACGGAGCCGTCAGTATTTATCGATAATTTAATTTGACACGCTTACGGCGTATAACTCTTCTGTTGCTCCATCTTCTCCTTGAAATCTTTCGGGTACACCCAACCGTCGCTGTTGAGGTCGATTTCCTGGAAGGAAGCCGAGGAGGTCAGGTCTTTGAGCTTCAAGAACATGTCGAAGTATTTCAGGATCAGCTCGACGTTCCCGGCGCTCTCGACGAGGGTGTCCACCATCTGTTTCCCGATGGTGCCGTTGACGATGTTACCCTCGAGCATGGACAGCATCATGGTGATCATGTCCTTCTGGAGGTTGAGCAGCTCCTTGAGCAGGTCCACCTGGCTGGAGTGTTTCGAGAGTTTGTCTTGCATGTGAGAAAAGAGGAAGAGGAAACCTCCTACCGCGTCCCACAACCTGAAGACAAATAGGAATTTAATCGTATTTCTTTTTTTAGGTTCGAATTTCGACAACCGCCTACCTGGAATGTGCCAAGGCCTGTTGATTGAGGGTGCAAGGGCCTTGAATGACCTCTGTAAGGGTGTTGAAGACTTGACTCGCCACACCGATCGCCTTGAAAAAGTTGGCTTTGCCAGCGGGGTCTATCAGTTCTTTGCTGGAATAGTGCCAGTAAAAGTCCATTATGGACTCTTGGAGCCTCAACAGGTAATCCACGGTGCATATGACGACGTTGACTGTCGTTGTGTTACCCGCCTGAGTACGTAAATAATTTTGCCATTCTGGAAAGGAAAAAATTATTACGATGATCGACTTTCTTTCCTAAAAAACAGACCTAGATTGTGACCTTCGCACGTCAACTGGATAAATCGGAATAGGGCACACGTGAACTCTGCGTCGTGCATGTTCTTTTCTCCGGCGGCACCTAAAACCAAAAACAAATGAAACTCGAGTTGAAAAAAAATATTAATTCTGATACCCTCAGATCCTACTCCAAGGCCTTCGGCCTTAGTATTCCTCTCAAAAGCGTCAAGATCCAGCACGCTGCAGCTGTTCATCAAACCGGCGATGCTGGTGAAGAAGCCGACGTCTTTCTTCTCCTTCAGGTGATTCAACATGCCCATCTGTATGTCGAAGTTACCGCCACGTAGAATCGAGATGCCTAGTTCGAGGGTTTTCATAACCATCTCGGACGGGACGCCTTTACAAGCGGAAATGTGCAGCAGCACCATTTCCGCCACCCCCCTTGTGGCTAGGCGGGCCTGGTTGAAGAGCAACTTCTGTTTCTCCATTTCTTGCTCCTAAAGTACGAGTTGGAATATAGTCGCAACTAAATGAGAGCGACAAACTTACACATATAAATTACATAACGGACGTTCTCTTACCATTAATTTTCTCATTGTCCTCTTAGCAATTTAAAACAAAAATATTAAATAGTACCTTTGTCATTTTTTTATGTTACAAAAATATATAATGCTAGTTTGTAATCGTTCTCTAATAGTTTTAAAGAATATATTCGTGGCCTAATTTTATAGACCCTTCACGGATAATACGAATATATTCGTTTGCCTTTTGGTGTTGCAATCTCACCTGCAATCTTAAAACTATAGTGTGACGTAAAATATTCCATACAATTTTTTTAAAGTAGTCCGTTAAAAGTAGTTAGTTTAGTGTTGAGGTGGCTACAACATGTCAGATGGAGGCATTTATCAAATGATTGCATCTCGGATTTGAAAGAAAATTTCGATTCCACTAAAAATTATGATTCTCCATTTATGTTTTGACTTTTACCCGTTTGGCATGGTTAAGGTATAAACTAATGCAAAAAATTGAAGAGTCAAAAGAAATTTTTCCGTGATTTCTGAGAGACTGTACTTAGGTGAAAAATGGTCGTATCGGGAATAAAGCTTGATCGAGTATACATTTTGTAAATTATTCTAAAATGATTGCAAGGAAAAAACAATTCTCAAGACTTACATGAATCGAAGATCCGCCTTCTTCGCCCTCCCCCCCATCGCCTTCTTCCTCCCCCTCTTCCTCTTCCTCTCCACAGGACTTGGCGATTATTTCCGCGTAACCCATATACAACGGATCCTCCTGCAAAGCTCCGGACCTCTCAGTCATGGCACCCCTGCAGAAGGTGGTAACAAGTTGCGTGAGGGGATCCGGCTTCCCTTCTTCCTCTTCCCCCTCGTTCTTCTTCAATTCGGAGTCCTCAAAGCTCTGGGTGAGATCTTCGATCATCACTTCTTGCCCGACGTTCTCGTCTTGCAACCAGAAGTCGCGGTAGGTACGGATGAATATGTTTATGGCGCGATGCCTAGATGAGAAATAATTTATAAATTCTGACCCAAGGTGGTTTTCTGGTTATATTAGTATGTAACACACCTGCTTAGCTTATAAATAGGGGTCATTCTAAGGCAAGCCAAAGCAGCCCTTTTCCGGGCGGCTCCTAAAACTCTCTTCCAGCCGTCTCTGTTATTCTTTTTCTTACTCGCCTGTTAGTGGGGAAAGAACAACAAGAACAAACAAACGTTAAACATCGGAGAACGAGGGTGTGGATTAGTACATGTGTTAGAGTGTTAACGAACCAACTAAAATGACCAAAAAAAAAAAACAAAAAGCTACTCAACGCACCTTGGCAAACTGTGCAAAGAAGCTTGTCGGAAGCAAGAAAGTACTGCACGCTTCCTTTGGGTGGAAACCATGCTCCGGTAAACACCTTTCTGCTGTTGTTGCGGGTGATCGATCTAGTTCGCAACAAAAATTAAATGAATAATGTGCCAAATTAAACAAATGATAACGGAAGCATTTTCAACTAGGTACCAAAATTTCTTGATATTACAAAAAATTGTAATTGTAATTTGTACCGGTAAAAATAATCCAGAAAAGAATCTATAAAAAATAGTTTTTGTCTATTTACTACCGAACAAAGTACTAATTTTATTGCTGTAGGAAAAAAATTAAAATAAGCACAAACATATTATAATAATGCCGGAGAATTAATTTTCCTGTTAGTTCAAGCACTATTATAGAGAAGTTCTTACAGAAATTATTACCTGGAAAAAAAATGACTGTATTGGAAGTTTTTTGTTCTTTAAACTCGATCCAAAATGACGAACATGCCTAAAAAATTCTCAAGTTGCAAAAAACGGTCTTTCTAAAATTAAAAAACTGTAGCTCCCATCGAAAAGTTTTAAATGAGTTTTAAATTGTAGGTAAAAAGATCTATCAACCTATTTTCTGTAAATTTCGATTGCTTTGTTACTTTTTGATATATATCGAAAAAACCGTTATAAATCTTCTTTTTCCTCTTCTTCTATAACTCGTTTACATTTACGTTCTCATACTTGCTATTTACTGCAAGCATAGTTCGCGGTAAGCCAAAAAAAGTACTTTTTTGAAGAATTTAAAAATATTAATTATTTTTCGATATATCGATTTTTTGAAAAAATGGTGTTCTCGAAAATTGGCTAATCTTCTCAGCGGATGGCTCTACAGTAACGATTTTCGGTTTATTTTCTTCATAAAGAGTTGTATTACCATGCTGTTAAAAAATGTTGACTTTTTATTAATTTTAAGGATCAAGATGACTGAAAAAATAGCAATTTTTTTGTTTACGTTTTTTTTCAAATAACACAATTTTTACTTTATGACGACGTTTATAGAAAGAAATTGCTGAATTTTTTTCAAGAATTAAACAAAAAATGTTTCTCTATGTCTGTAGAAGACGCAATTAAAATTTTACAGCGATGCGCTAGATGGAGGTTAATGTTGAATACTTATATTTTCAAGAAAAAAAAAATAGAAATAGAAAGTAGAAAATTCTAGCAGTAGGGGTGCCAAACGTGAACTAAACCCCTTAAAACCGCACTGCACTGGATTCCCCGACAGGCATTGATTTATTACTTTGCATCGAATATTATTCTACTATAGCCGATTTTCAAGAGTGCCTTTTTTTTAATTATTTATCTCGAAAATATTTATTTTTTAATTTTTCAAAAATGTGCTTTTTACGTAAGTGTAAACGAGTTATAGAAGGAGATAAAAGACAAGGTTTTTAACGGTTTTTTCGATATACCTCGAAAAGTAACAAAGCAATCGCTACGTATAGAAAGTCAGTCGATGGATCTTTTTAAAACCTACAACTTTCTCGTTTAAAATTTTTCGATCGGAGCTATAGTTTTTTTAGTTAAGAAAAACCGTTCTTTGCAATTTTGAGTATTTTTTTAAAGAAGTTAATTTAAAATTTAATTCCCTATACGGTCATATTTTGTTTGTCCAGGTAATAATTTCTGCAAATTTAGGCCGTCAAAGAATGCTTGGACTTCATTTCTTAAAAATTATCGCTACCAATTCGTTAATTTTCTTCACAGTAAAACCTACTTTACTATCGACAAAAATAATCTGCTTAAAATTGATTAAATAAACAACAAAAAATATCAGAATAAGAGAAATTTTATTCAAAATTAACTTACCATGTGAAGCCCGTACAAGACTTTGCTCATCGCCACAATCCTGTCGACGGTCTCTTCCAATTGATTTTTGCCGTTATTGTCAACGGCAGTGATCGACACCGTCTTTTTGCTGCCGAGTTGACTGTACAAGTAATGTTGCCAAGACATTTCGTCCGCTGGATCGATCTTGTCGGGAAGCGTCAACTGGTTCTTGGCAAAGTCGATAATGTCGTATTCCGGCATTTTCTACAATCGGTACGTTCACGTTAAAATCGCCAAGATTGATTTAAAGGCATTTACAAAAATGTCGTTACCTTCAGGAAGCGATCTTTGCAGTGCTGAACGAGTTCCTGCTCGCGACCCGCGAACAGATTCAATCCCACCGGCAAGAGACGTTTCAGACAGGCGACCATGAGAGACGCTTGTATCTCCTTGTCTTTGTCCCGTTTCTTGTCACGGTGCTTTTTCTTTTTCTGAAAACACAAAATTAAACGATTACGTCCGTGTTAAAAAACGCATATTTCAACGATACCTTTCCAACGGTAGGTTGCGTCCCGTCGGGCACCACCGTCCTCCTGGTAGCCGTGGGCATAATCAGCACCATGTTATCAATTTCGTTCGCGGAAATGAAGTTCTGCTCCTCCCTTAGGAAGTACTGCGACTTGGACCAGATGTTGAAAATTTCCGCTACGTGATTGTATAAGTCTTCGGCTTCGGCAACGTTGTGCCTTAACCAGTGATTCCTTTGCAGGTCGACGTATTTTATTAACAGCGGATAAAACGAGTAGATGTCCCTGACCAAGAGGTGCCAGTCTTCCTGGATTTGCGTTTCGATCTGTAACAACAGATTTAATTATCGCAAATCCCGAAATTTATAAACAATCGTTTACTTGTGACGTATCGTCCGTTGAACTCTTGATGAATCCCCTCAAGCTCTCCTCCTTGTGGAACATGGCCTCGGTTCTTTTCTTAACCCTCTCCGCTAGAGGGAGGAACGGATCCTTGAGTAACTCCTCGCTGCTGTTGATGATAATCTGTTGGGTGTACGCGGCGATCCGGGTCATCCAAGGCGCGTTCTCGTTACCGATATTTTTCTTGATCAGTTTGAGCACGTTTTTCAATAACTGGTTCATATGTTCCGCAGTTACCATCGAAACGAGAGTTCTGAAACGGATTTTATTCGAAATCTGGCCGTTATGAAATCAAAGCAACCGTGTCAACTTACCCGCCTGTGGGACTGACGTTATCGGGTCCCTGCGACCACCAAAACGGCAAATAGGAGCACAGCATGGGCATAATAACGTCGATGACGTGTGGGGCGTCCGCGTAGGTTTTCTCGCTTTCGACGAACTGGTCCACCTCCGAGAGGATGGTGTCCAGAGTTGGCATGGAGTTCTCCATTCTTGCCATTATATCTACAACGGAAGATTATAAATAGTCGTATGGGGTGTCGCAATGAGACAAAATTGTATAACCTACAATACAAAAAAAAAAAAAATCGTACGGACGTAGATCCGCAAATGCTCCAATTTTGAGGTGCAAGTTCTAGTATTCTTTTAGGTGTCCCTATTTGTTTTAACTTTTCCCAGATTGATATTATGTAATTCACCGAAACTTGGTCAAGGTCACTGAGATTCACGAACTGAACACAGTGCTTTAAAAACAAACATTTTTTTATTGCAGCCAAATTAATAAAGCGCTAAATAACGAGGCTGTGGAAAGGCCTGCAGAATTTTCGGTGGAACATTGCAACATCGTATTAGACAGGAATTACATAAATCTTACCCTGCGCTTCCAATGAGTGGTCCGCTATGCGATTCAAGAGCGAAAACTGATTGTTCTTGTTCAAATGCGGCTCGAGAAAAGCGACCGGAAACGTTGAACTAAAGGCTCCCAAAGACGATCCTAGAGTGGGTTTGTATTTCTCCATCTCGGTCTTCAAGTATTTACGATCGTGCGTTAAATTGGGGTCCGTTCCCAGAATGTACAGAGCTTGTAGTATTTTATACGACGCCACCTGAATTTCGTCCACTGAAAAAAAAGTAGGGCACGTACTTTCGGCTGTTTTCCGTTAATAATCGTTACTTACACAGCAGGTCGCTGCCGTATTCGCAATTTGCCAAGTGGTCGAATAACGACGTAAGGACTGGAAGTACCACGGCGTTGACATAGAATAACGAGGTGGAAGTTTTCAGATGAGTTCCTCTTAGATGGCTGTACTTTCCCTGAAAAAAAAAAAAACAAAAACAGTTCTGCACCGTTCCCGGTCGCAAAAGACATACGTACCTCTTGCAGATTGATAATCGTGTGAGCCAAATCATCGGCCGTGTTGTTAAAGAACGTCAACATAGACGTCCGGATAAATTCCGGGCAATTCTTCACCAACGACTTGGCGTCTACGCCCTTAACTAGAACCTGCAGACACCGGACGGTTATCCTCACGTCGGCCCCGAAGGCTGCCAAGCGAGACCTCAACAGACTCGCCAGTTTGCAGAAAAGAGAGGCAACCATCTCCTTCTCCTTTAGACTGGCGGCTCCTACGTTGTTTGTGGCCGTAGCGATGGCTATGAAATAGTTTCGGTGCGTGGAGAAATATTTCTCCATCAGAGGCAGGACGACTTTCGAGAAAAACTTAATGTCACGAGACGACGTTTTGTACGAGCTCCTCCTGCTGAAAATTTGTGAAGGTTTCAGCAGTTTCATGTTAATGGAAGCGCGGTCCAGGTACTGGATCAGCTTTTCTAACAGGCTGTAGGCGAACCTCAGTTCTACGGAAGGACCGGCGGTGGACTGCTCCGTCTCTTGTTGCCCGCCACGGTTTGGCCTAAAAACGAGAAATATTTCGACAGGAGATACATTTTTTTTTTAATTAACCAACCTGTGCAATTTATAACCTTGGTACTGCAAGTACTTCAAGAACTCCTGCGATCTTTCACGATCTTTCTTCTTTTCCTTATCGGTGAGCAAGTCGTACGGCACGAGCTGCGGGTGAATCCCCCCACCGCAAGTGTTAAGCTCCTCCTTCTTTTTCCTGGCCCAGATGTCATGGGCGTTCTCCGCCAGCCGCTCGGCCATGTTCTGCATTTCTCTGGACAAAGTCAAGTTGGTCATGTCGACAGGGTGGGGGTTGTAATTGAAAGCGGACGTCCCCTCCCCGGACTGGCGCAACACCGAGTTCCTGCTGTTCGAGGGCAAGTCCACTTCCGTGTGTTCAACCGACCAGCCGATCGCGAGGAGAGCCTTTAGGGACTCCCGCACCGGTTCCTTGTACCTCTCCTTTTCCTAAAAACAATTTTATGTCAAAATGAAAGGAACTTAAAAGAATTTCCTTCCTTACGTAATCGTTTAGCATCGCGTATGGCTTCAAACGCGGATGTGTCTTATTGCCGTCCCAACCGGAGTAAGACTCTCCGTACTGCCAACTGTTTTCTAACTTCCGAGATGCCCAAGCATCGTGGTAGTGTTCGGAAAACTGTTGCACGATATTATTCAGGTCATTGTTAAGTACCACGGAGGAAGTATTAATCGGTTGCGGATTGTAAGGACCGTCGGGACCGGTTTTGGACGACTTATTTGAATACCATTCGTCGTCGTAATTCTTAGACAACGAATAATCGGGCGGTAGGGCGCAACCGATAGCCGTCAAACAGGGGAGAGCCTTACCGAAAAGCTCGGGATCGTAATCCATCTTACTTAAAGAATCGAAGATATTAGAGAACAGCATCATAGTCAGTCTCTTCTCTTCGTCGCTGGACGAACCGTAGATCCCTTGGCCCGTACTAGACCCGTAATATTTCGCGCACCTCTCGTAATGCAACGTTAACAACCTCAAAGCTACGGTCGTGTATTCCGAAAGATTAGAAACGTCGACGGTGAGCTTTCGCAATAACTTCAAGAGCATAGCCGGCTGAAGTTGGCTGGTCAACGCGACTAAGAAATCCGAAACCGCCTCTCTCTGACCTTTAGTGAGCATGCGGTTCTTGGAGAGCCTGTAGACGGTATGCAAAGTGGCGTCTAATAGAGAGGCGTAATTTTCCGCTTCGCTGTAGAACTTGCTGTGTTTAATTAATAGGGGGAGTATGGAGTTGCCGATGTAGCGGTTCATGCTCAGTGCCATGTCCGATTCGCTTCCGTCGTTCTAGAAGACAGCAGGAAATAGGTAAAAAAATAATTAAAAGCTGTATACGTACCCTATCCAGCATCGTAGCACACCTCAAATCCGGCAGGAAAGCCTCTTCTAGAAGCCTGAAGAATAATTCTTGCGTCTCAATACCGTAGACTCGTTCCAAGAAAAGTACCACCGATTGTTTATGTCCAGGTATTAATCCGGAAGGCATGTCGGATTTTGGTCTCTCCTCGCCTGCGGCCGGGTTATGCAAGGTAAACCGTAAACTTAAAACGCCTTGTAAGTCTTCCAGTGGCACCAATGATCTTAAAATGGCCCTTGCGCGAAGCGACTCGTTTTTACCTAAAGCAATAACGGCGGCATCCGGCGCACACCTTCCGAGGAGGTCGACCAGCGTGCAATAGAAATTTAAAATAGCCGCTCCGGTATCGATGTAATCCTCATCGTCCTCGCTTTCCGGCAGAGGATGGGTAAATTGAGCGCAGTTTACGACCGTGCCTTCGGCTTCGTCCATCATCTTTCTTCTGTCTGCGATTCTTTCCGACATCTACGTAAAATTTAACAAAAAATTAGTTTTTGGTAGAGTAAATTTTCTGTATCTAGTAGTTCGATTCACGCCTACAAATATGTTTTTTCCGGCTGTAAAAAATTACATCCAACGTACCTTATTGGCATCAACTATAGCCCGCAGCAGACCCTCGCCCTCTCCTCTCAGTGCCGGACCCAGACATTCCGGCCTACGAATCAAGAGCCTGATGACCAAGTTAGCGTTCTCCTCGACACTCTCACCGTTTACCCACACGCAGAACCTTAGGAAATCCAAATATCTCTCGCCTTCCACAGGATCCCACCCCAGATCCGGATAACCTTTCTCCACCAACTCAGAATTCGACTGGAGCCCGCAGCGAGACAAATATATCGCGATTTTCTCCAGATAGTGCTCCCTAAGAGCAAGGGCCAATTCTGTGTTCTCCATAAGCGACGAGTACGACACGTCTAATGGCGTCGAACCTCTAAGACTCGGCCTCGACAACAAGATATTGCTGTTGTCTAAAAGGAAGTCGAAATGCTCGAACATCGCTTTCTGGTTCTGTCTACCGGTCCTGCAGAAGTAACACAGGAACCGGCAACACGCCACAACCATTTCGTGAGACGTATCCTATAAAAAAAAAAAGTTTCTCAACTGAATTAAAGGTCTTCGGACGAACGAACCTTTTCTTTCAGAACGATATCCCCCTCGTTGGCCTGCACGGTGCTGGCATCAGACTGCGCTTGGGACCTTCTGCCCAAAGTGTTAATCATCACCGCCATGACGTTCTCGTGGATGCGTAGGACTCGGATCAGGTCGGGGTGCTGGAAGAAAGTGTGGTTGTTCACCAGCTTCCACAGCCTCTCTCTCATTAGTTCCTCTTCTTCTTGGGACATCTGTACTGGAAGGAGAGCTCTGATCTGGCTTAAACCGACCCACATTTCCGCTACGTCGTTCTTGGTCTTAGCGTTAATGATGTAAGTCTTCTCCAGGGCCCTTATCAGTTCTCCGACCGAATCGTACTGCCTTACCAGTAAACTAAACATTTCTTGAACGAGTTTAGAAGTTTCTATTTGGGTTTCCTTGGCCCATCTGACTATAGTGTCGATTAGGACCTTCCGGAAGTTTTCCTCCGGCGATTTCTTTTCGGGTTCGGGTTCCTCTTTGGGCTCTTCTTCGAGTTCCTTTACGGCATTTATGAAATTGAATAGTTTTTTAATCGGACCCGGTTTCATCAGGTCATCGGGATTTTCTTCTTCTTGGGGGGCCAGCAAGGCCTGCAAGGAAACGTGGGTCATCAATCTGCCATGGAAGATGTTCATCCGGTCGCATAGGTCTTCGCCCAACGGGCAGTTTTCTTTCTCCTCCTCCTCTAAATTTTTGAAGCCTACAAATTCGATACATGTGGTGGAAAGCCATTCAAACTTAATGAAAGTGGACGAAAAACAATTCAAATAGAAAAAAAAATAAAAAATACACGATATGAGGGTTGAAATGCAGGAAAAAAACTATTTTCTAGTTATTTTTTAAGGGAATTTTTATATTTTATTTCAGATATACATTTGAACCCCATTTGTGGTGAAAAAAAAATACCTAATCTACACTAAGAAAAGTATTGGAACTAATTTTTTAAATTTACAGGCTACAATTCAGGGCATTTCTTTCTTTTTAGATGCTGTAGTAGGATGAAAAAAGCGACATTTTAAGCACACTGCACTGAGTCGTAGTAAATATACTTACATAAAATATAAAAATACATATATTAATTCATTCTATATAAGTTGTATGATCCTGCATCCGTGTAATATTTTTTAAATGTGTGCTTTTACTTGAGACATATTTAAGACGTGTACAGAAGGTATGTAATTTGTTAAAATTTTATCAAATATTTTTCATGCATTAAAAACGTAGTACGAGCGAAAAAATATTATTCGTATTTAACACTTTTTTATGAACAGCATTTCGTAAAGGTGAATAAAAAAGATATTTTTGATCTGATGTTAACTCAGTTTAAAAAATGTAGAATTTTTGTATATTATAAGAAAATAGCAATTTTTCTGGTTGCTGATGTAAATCTCCTTTGATCGTTTAAGTATTCAAGTAGGAAATACAGTATACGTGAAAACAGGTATAAAATTCGGTCCGGAAATTTTTTTTCGAGAATTTTGAAAATTTTTCTTTTAATTCTTTTAATTTTTTATTTTTTTGCATTGAATTAAAATCGAATATTCATTTCCACATATTATTTTATTCAATATTTGAGTGAAATTTGACCATTCTTACGTTTAAAGGGTGAATTTATTCGCTTGTTTGCCTGCGGAAGATGACTTCAAGGCTTTAATAATTTTTTCCAGACTAGCTCGGACGAAAAAAGTGCAAAGTATCTTTTTTGTTGGAAAAAACTTCTACAAGGTAGGTTTTTTTTCCTCCGTCTTGATCCCAGTCCAAAATATTAAAATATTTCAAAAATAAAATGGTTTTTCAAAATTTTTCTGGACTTTGGAAAATTGATAGATCAGTGAACTTTTTCTTATGGTGATTCAGAACTCATCCAAAAATAAATTTGGATATACAGGGGACTCTTACAAATACAATTTTGTAAAGAAAAAAATCAAAAAGGGCAGTTCGAAAATTATTTAAAAATACACTTCTGCACAGCACCGGAAACTGGTTCACTGTAAAATCTGACCTTCCACAATGCGACCGGCATGGCAGTAAAGTGTGATAAAAACGGACAAAAACTTTCGCAAGGAAAGAAATAAATAGAATTTTATAGCATCTATTTTATATCAGCCAATTCAACTGCTTCTGTCGTTATTGTTATTAATTAAAAAAAAAATATGTGTGGTAAATAATAAAACAATTTGACATATTTGATGTTACAACAACTGTTCCGGGGTCCGTCTTACTCGGATTCTACGAACTAAAACAAATATTGTCTTGCTTCACCATAAATTAAAACGATATCCATCAACTCCGAGTTGCTATACACGCAAGCCATTTTTGACAATAACTAGTAAAAAAACTATTGTAAACGGTATCGCAATGACAATTGTAAAATCGGATTTCAGTATTCAGAGTTGCTGAGGCCACGAGGCTCTCCACGCGTATTGCGAATGATGCTAGAGACTACAGTTGTCCAGCTATGTAATGGTTGAATGTACTACAACTTCAACAATTTTTTTCTCGGAAACCATAAGGATTTTACAAAAAATTTTTTCAAGATATTCACTCCATTTCTCATGCCGTATCTATTCCCAAATTTTTCTGGATAAGTTGTGAATCAACCTGTATTAATCTGCATAATTTGAAGAACTTATTAAATAATTATATTTAGACATACAAAAAACTAAACAAGAATACTGGAAAGAATAGAGAAGGACGTCAGTTCTGGCGCCTGGAAAAATATCTTTTCTGTTCACGTAATTCAGAGACATGAGACATTTACGCAAGAGTTGGTTAAGCGCCTGTATGACGTGTTATCGCTGACAAACGAACATCCATTCCGCACACATTTTAGTACAGAGAATTAACTGCAAGCAACATTTCATTAGAATAAGACACTTACGCTCGCCGTTTGTATTGACGTACCTGCTATTCGTTTGAACTTACACAAAATGGCATTCATCTGTTCTCTGGGCGGGCACCTAAACTCTTTGGTTTTCTTCGCCGCCACCGCCGACGGCAGATCGGACTGTTTGATCTCAATGTAACGCCTCAACTGATCGGTCTGTAGATCTGCGACGAAATCGTGACTGAAGGCTATTATAGATTCCACCCTGTGGCGTAGCTGAACGTCGCACAGGTGCTGGAGCAAGTAGCACATCTGCAGTTTGGCTCCCTCGGCCATCTTCATAGAAAGCAGGCCTTTGCGGTGCTCGTCCTTGCCGTCCTTCTCGAAGGACGGGTCCCAGGTTTCCGGACACACCATTATCAGTAGTTTGTCTACGTCTTCGTCGCTTAACATTCCCACGAGCAGTAACCGATCCACAAGTTTCAGGAGAGGCCTTAAAAGTTAATTAGTTAACGTAGGTCAAATTTTTTTCCAGTATCTTTACTTACAAAAACAAATTTTCATTGGATCCTCCGACGGGGTCTCGGTTGTGAACCTGGTTAATCTCAACGGATTCGGCCAAGGCCATCATGACATAATCGCGCACCACATCTAGCGGAAAATGTGGAGAATACAAATTTTTTATATTCTCTATGTTTTCCCTGAAATAACAAAATTAAACGGTTGCTCACACATACATACAAAAACGTCCTACGTTATTTCCGACGTTTTCATTTGCGGCTGCACCGACTCCATTTTAAGCCTCCTCAAGCTGTGTCCCATCTCCAGATCGTCGTACAAATCTTTCAATTCCTGACTTATCGGAATGATGTACTCGTTTTTACAGACCTCCCTAAAAAAAATTGAACGTATAGCGACTACGGTACTCCCGAAACTTTCTCGTCCTTACATGGTTGTCGCCGTGGATTCCAAATGGACCGCGATAAGCAAATCGTAGAAACCTTGCCGCAACGGTCCGCTCATATACTCCGATTTTATAGCGTAGAGCAACTGTTTCTGATCGACGTGCTTGCACAGGACGTGCGCCGCCTTGTAATTACTCTGGTAGCACAGCGCAGCGTATAACGTAAGAGTGTGAGCGTGGAAACTCAACAATTTGTCCATCTCTATGAGCTCCAGTATGTCTATGCAACGATCCTCCTCGGGGATGTGGAGCGCGAGCATGGAAATGGGGTCTTCGCAGAGCATCGACCAACCGCGGATGTCGGACAGCTTCAGGGCGTGCACTTGCAAGCTTTGGTTGGGCACCTGAATTAGAAATATCGGAAACGTGTAATTGTACCGTATTTTTTATTTAAATCAAAAAAACTTTTGTACAATTACAATTTTTTGATTTGTAGCATAGTCTTGAAGGTGGTGTAATAAAAACAACGAAACGTCGAGTGGCTTTTTACTTTCCGCTCTAATTTAGATCAAAAATGAAAAATATAGCAATCGTACTAAATCGCTGGAAAATATTTGCAGAAGACTCACCCTCGCCCACTGATGCGGCTTAAGACATTGCACCTTAAGCCTTGGCGGGAACTGGGGAATCACGTGCCGGGCGCTGTTCTGTAAAACGGCTGCCGACAACGGAAGACTCGTAGAAGTCCTGCCCAGCTCTATCTGAAGTATTTCCTTGCTGGTCGCCTCGACGAATATAGCGGGAAACAGCTTCGTTTCCGGCTCCATCTAGCGGGGAATCGAAACATTAAAGCGACACCAACAATTTAACCGGAGATGTACCTTAAATCTGTGAGACGTGGGCTTGCCGTCGCACGTGTACGTTATAATGCCAGTGGCCGCGTCCAAGAAGCACCCGATGAACATACCCTGGGACGCTCCCTTACCAGAAGCGTCCTGAGACACTTGATTGTATAGTTCGTCGGCTCTGACCATATAACAAGATTGACGATCGACGCAGTCCACGATGCGGTCGTATTCGTCGGCGATCATCACCGACGATTTGAGGACTTGGTTTTGGTTGAAATCCTTGCTGTGCAGGTGGTACTGCGTCGTTACCCAGCCCACATAAATATGGGTGGGGTCTTGACCCGGAAACACTCTAACGCCTACAAAAAAAAAAGGTACGGTCGACCGGAACATAATAAATATCGTTTTGCTTACCGTAAAAATACTCGTTGATCAATTTAAGGCACTCGGCGTCGTATATTTCATTTCCTATGGCCTCCACGTCGGAAGGTGTGGCGATAGTCAGTTGTTTCTGTTGACGCTCCGGTCCCGTTTGGGGGATATCGTTCTACAAGGTACGTGTACAGAAAACGATCGGTTAAGTATAAAAAACGTCCGTACCTGAGACTGTTTCACGGTAGGAGTACGCTGTAACATCGTATTCGATAATCCCACAGATCTAGCTTGGGGACTAATTCCGGCTATTCGACTGGTGACTTCAGGAGTTTTCGCTTTCTTACCTTTCAGTCTGTCGCCGCTCGACGTATCGCGATTTTTCTTCGAGAAAAATCTGACAAAGAATCTCAAATATATAAAAAGGTAAAGTTATCCACGTTTTTGGCGAAGGAGATATCAAATCTTCTGCGTTACTAAATGCACGTTTTAATTTCGTCAAAATATGCAGTGGGGATCTCTCAGTATACAGGGTTATCCAAAAATCCCGGTACGACAGAAAAACTTTCGAAGAAAGCATTTTGGGAAAAAATGTTTCAGACAAGTGTATGGATTTTTCCCTGGCTATCTGATGGTGCTTCGAAAGTTCTTTAGCCGTACCGAGACTTTTGGATATCCCTGTATAATTAAAGGAATACGATTATTTTCTGATATAGCACAAAGAAAATCTGATTTCTCACGACGTAAATATAAAATTTACCTGATGACACTGTCACTGCTTGAAATACAAAGGAAATCACTTAAGTATCGGGACGACTTAAAACAACTGTCTTACCTAAACGGAGACCTTCCTCTCTTCTTTTTGTCATCGGCTTTCTCTTGATGTGTGGGTGCGATGTCGTGATATCTATTAATGTCCAGTTCGCTGCTCGACCGATGAACCCCTCTGCCAAAGTTCACAGTTAATCCTAAAAAAATGAAAAGCTCGACAAAAAAAAAATTTCCGATTGCAAGTAACCGTTACCATTTTCTTCATACCCGTTGACCGCTCTCGACAAAGAACCTTTCCTTGGAGGACGGGAGGGTAAGTTCCTTATGGATTTCGGCATTTGCTGCTGTTGTTGCTTCATAACCTCGTCCGACTCGACGGCATCCTCGGAGTAATTCCGATGTAGACCCTTAATGTCGCTCATGGAAAAGCCGCTCTTCATTATATTTTCTATGTGCGCCGGCGGGCCTTGCTGATCCGCCTCCACTTTAAGTCGGTGCTGCCTGATCTTGATCTCATTCCACCTTCTCATTTTTTCCTCCTCGCTATGGAAGAAATAACGTATTAAGCCCTGACATGTAACGTAAACTTGTACACCTACGTTATAAACGACGAGTGGCAAATAACCGGTAAGCTCAGTCTCAAGAATTCCCAGTTGGCTTTTTCCATAGTTTCGAAGGTATTGTGGCTGATCTTAAGGCAAGGCGGGCTGTCGGAACCCGCCAATATCCTGGTAACGTCGATTTTCCCATCCTGCAAATCGTCCGTATTTTCGAATATCGGTTGATCCTTCGTGTACCAGTAAGTCACCGCTCGGTTCATATTGCTACAACACTACAGTTATTTGGAGTTCCGAGGGGATTTTCTCGAATCACTTACACGCAAAACGGCTCGTAGCCCTCCTGCAACCCACACATCGTAAAGTATTTGAGTTGAGTAACGTCCTGTCCGAAACAGAGCTTCGCCTTTTGACCTACTCCTAGGGTAAAAGCCGGTACAAAGTTATCGCCTTGCACGTCAGCAAAAGTGGTTTCTCCCCCCAGAGCGTCCATTAAAAGTTCGCCGTTTAGAGAAAAACCTGCCGGAAAGTTTAGTTATACGTTCTTGAATTAAATTTTACAAGTGTCATGCAAACAACGAAGAAAGTAGAATCAAGTACAATTGTCGTGTAAATTTGTATCAACGTATTTCCCTAAATAAAAACTATCATCACTCAAACTTAATAACAAAAATTAACGTAGGATTGTCACAAAGGATATGAAGAAGTGTTGACTATCTGAACATAAAGATTTATTAAGTTTGGTCGATTTATTTTAATAGAAAGATAAGTTTACTAGATAGATATAAGTAATATGTTACCACTACAAAAAAACTTGCGATATACTGTTAAAAACACACCAAAACACTGTACATACAAAACTGGAGAAAACTGCAAGAAAATTTTTAAAAAGCTTAAAACGTGGCAAATAATAATGTAAAATATAAGCTATGTAATTAGAGAAAGATAAGTTATAAAGCTGACATCCTGACGAATGAATCTTACTTATTGTGTGATCAATAAGATCGAGGAACACACCGACCACGTCACCAACTTGCCATTGCTTTCCAAACGATTCCGCAGAATTACTGTATACTTTCTCTTCCTATAGAAAAACGACCTTTTTATTTTCAGATCGACATGGGTTATCAGTTTACAATTTCCTCAGTTTTCAAATGTAAAACATACGTACGTACGGAAACGGCATTACACAATCATTTCGGACATACAACTTACTTATTGTACCATCTATAATATCTATGAAACAGCCTATTACGTCTCCGATTTGATACTTTATGCCAAAGGGTTCCATAACTCCGGCATGATGCTTTTTTTGCTAAACACCGTATCCAAAATTGATAAAGTGAATTTAAAAATATTAATTTATAGATTCTTTCAAATATTTTGAGAAATAATTAAAACAAATATCTATTTAAATTTCTTTCCAAAAAAAATTGACTTTTACTCTTTATATAGTTATAGTCTTTCTGATCTCAATTGGAGACCAAAGAGCTATAGGCAGTACATACTACGTTCGGTCGCTACTCGACATTGAAATGAATACGCCTAGTTGAAGAAAGCGCGCGCGGGCAAACGGCGCACAAACACAACCGTACTGGGCGACTGGGCCATAAATTTCAGTTGTTGACACATTTCCTAGCAGTGCAGTGCAGCAATGCGGAATTTGGTGTAAACTCATCAAATTTTATTACTAGGCGTTTTTATACATGTTCAACTGACTTCGGAAAGACTATACCCGCCTTGTGAATAAATAAATATTAATAGAACAAAATTATATGTAAAAAACACAACGCATTTTTTAATTAGTTGAACACTTGTACGATAGAGTAAAAATATGATAGAATATACGATTAAAAGAAATGATTTTGTTTTACCGATAACCAAATTATTTACCGTTGTTTAATTTTAACATTCATTTTTTTTCCTCAAGTATGGATTTTATTCGCCGAATTAAAGAATTAAACGAAACTGCTACTTACGTTATATCCGTCAAAAGCCCATGTATTTTCGTCGGACCCCAGCATACGCCCAGGCGCACAATCAGCCTTGGCCCACCCAACCCTCATCGGCCCGGTCGTCAAGATCTCAAACTCGAAGTACCACTTCCCGGAGCTTACGGCGTAGTTTTTCTCTGCTCGGTAGGTTCTGAACAAAGAATGCCTCAGTCTACTGGCTTCGGCTAGTAAGGCCTCTTGCTGCTCCCCAGTGGGAGGATCAAGGTTGTACCCGTAAACGAGAAGCGTTCTCACGGTTTCCGAGGCCGTATCCCTGTTGGCCTTTTTAATCGCATCGTCTACTTTGCCGTAAGGAACTAGATGGGGGCTCCTGAACATGTCGGGGTCCTAAAAGGAAAACAGTTTTAAGTTTATGACAAAAAACTACTTTCTTTATAGTCACTTCATTTAATCCGTACGTCCAACCCTGTTGAATTCTTTCTTTAGCCCAAAGGTTATGGGTGTTTTCCGCTAGTTGATCCACTAATTCTTCTAATTTCGCAGTCAGCGTAATTGCGCTTAAATCTAGAGGAGCGGGTTTGTAGCCGTTTGCCTGCATGAAAGGCTCGTTCGGCAAACGGATGGTTTTGATCCGAGACGGAGGCCTGTCCATCGTTATGTAATACCCTAAAGCTAGAATTGTCCTAAAAAAAAAAAAATGTCACCGGAAAACATACACCCATTCGTCCCTCTTATCACGTAGGGGCGTATAATCCAAGGAATGGACATACACATACGCCTCTACGCGATAAATAAAATGGAATGCATAGTTAGTTCCCGTCAAATTCACACATGTGCATTATTATAATGTTCGTTGAAGTGTTGGAGAAACACAAAACTTTATCTTACTTTAAGGTCTGCACCGCCAGTTGAGAGTCGTACTTCTTCTCGGCCGCCGGTAACTTATCAAACGGCACGAGGCAGGGATGAATGTGCCTCAAGTCGTCCCTGTAGTCGCCCCATTGCCAGCCCGCCTCGATTTTGTTCATGGCCCACATTTCGTGAATGTTCTCGGCTAGTTTGTCTCTGATAGACTCGACGTAGGTCGCCAAGCCTACCATGGACGTATCGACGGGATTCGGAACGAACGCCGTGTCGTCCTCCACGAATAACGGGCCGGCAATCACGTTCTTCCCCATATTCCCGAAGTAGAAACACGGTTCCAACATCAGTATCTGTTGCGGTAAAAGACTTTCCACGAGGGGAGAAAAATCTTCCGGAGGCAAGTACTTTAATTTGCCGTGGTCGCCACCCAACAAGAAACGACAACTGGAAAAACAAGATTTTATATTTACGAAGCGAAAGGAAAAGCGTAATCACCTTAATTTGGAAGAACAGCTGATCACGGGGAAGAACATACCATCCAGGTTAAAATTTCGGAAGCTCCCTCGAATTGGCACTCCGTTAAAGGTAAACGTTATTATGGGTATCGTTAAATCTAAGGCGCAACCTATTACGTCAGCTAAAAACAAACGTCCGACATTTATCAGATGAAATTTTAATCGTATTGTATTTTACCTTTTCGTATGAAAGGCTCTGAATTGTCTCTTACAACTCTTGTGTTTCTACCACCGGTCCAAAGATATGCACCATCGAACCCATAAGAATACAAGTCGTCGCCAACTCCGTTCCCCCCCCACTTTTCGCCCCCGCCGGGATGAGGCACGTACCTAAAGATTTGCCATTAAATATTTATCAATTAGGTCAAATTTTTTTATATACCCTTTAGAATTCGCCCATCCAATTCTTAGATGTGGCATCATGTGAGTCGTTTGTTCTAAGTGATCTACGGTAACCTCAAAATACCACTTCTGATAAATTGCGCTGCCTTCTACTCTACCTACGAATATGTTCGGGCGGACGCTGAAATACAACTGTTACAGAATTTACAACAACGGCAAACGAAATCGTTACCTCGCGACGTGGTCGACGAGCTGCGTTTGGAACAACAAGTTCTTGCCCGGTAGGAGAAAATCGCAGATGTTGTTTTGGGAGCTTCGCACGGCCACTCCGTTACCAACGCAGAGCGAGCACAACACGTCGAGGACTTTAGGGTCCCTCCCGTGTTTCTCGAGCAGAGAAATGATTACTTTGATATGCTCGTCCTGCAACACAAACGTGTCGAAAACGACAGTATTTACTTTCATTTCGTCTTACCCTCATCATGTTCAACGCTTCGGGAGAGTCTATAAGCACACAGTGCAGTACGTCTAACATTCCCGTACCCTCGCTGGAAGCTTGAGACCCTAGTCTAGAAAACAGCCAATTCAACCGATTCGAATTGGCGAACTGGGCGCAATTCGTATGGTTCCCTTTGATTATGGCAGCTGAAAAGTGGTAAATGAGTGAGTACTTATGTGTGTATTGTGTGTTCTTATAATGATTTTGAAAGTATTAACAACATCTGTTACGTAAATGTGAGAGAACAAGATTCAAGGTTCTTTAGGAGCATTTTCAAGTCCAAAAGGCATTCGGAGAAATTCGCAATGTTCGTCATTCACTATCTTTATACAAATTGGCTGCAAATAAACGTACTATACTAAATTCTTTTACCTAATAACTGGTAAAGGTATCCCCCGATCATCTCCCAGCTTTGATCGCCAGCTAGACCCGCCAAAAATCCTTGGGAAGTTATAACATTTATTTTATCGATGGCCTCTAAAATTAAGTTGAGGATGCCCTCCTCTTGGAACAGATCTTGCCTGTTTCTCAAAGCCCTCAGTCTGTTCTGTTTCTCTTCGTGCTCTGCAAAATACGCAAGTATTATAAGTTATACGACAGTAACGCCTTCTTACCCATATCGTCATCGGGTTGGGCGAAATAATTTATTAAATCTTCCAGGCACATTACCATTTCATTGAGATTGACCATGTGGAAGAACATCGAGTGTCTTCTATTCGTTTGCAATTGTTCCAGGCCGCTAAAAGCACAATCGTAAATTTACAGAAATAAATAAATTTTCAAAGGTTTACTTAATAAATGGCGTGAAAAGCGAGCTACATTTACGAATAACCCTAGCAGTCCTCGATTCCTCTTCTTGACTCCTACTGAAGTCTAATCCGTCATCCATTTTGCCTTCTTCATGGAGAACGGCCTGTTTCTCTTCGACTTTGCCAACGCCCTTCTTCTTAGTTTCATATGCCTTTAAAAACGATTAACTTAAAAAATTGTTCTGTGAAAAACCGAAGAAAAATTACTTTATACGATAACCAGAGACCAGACTCTGAGTGTTGAACAATAACAGTCGAATCGCCATATTTGATAATCGGAGCACCTATAATTTCCAAGTCTTTGTCTTCTAGCGTGACCTTCTGGTCGTCTTTCTCTTGACGCAAGCAGAACGCTGTCGTAGCAGTGTTGGCTTCCTCCCTATTGAAAAATAAATAACGAAGAATAAAAATACAGCAAGCACCAATTACGAAGAAGTTACCTGCTAACAAGGTACAGCTCATTATTCTCGTTGACGGCCAAGTACCGACCGGTCGTAAGGTGCCTAATTCTCATGGGGTGATGCCAGTTGATGAACCCCCCGGCCCATTTAGTACGAGCCAACTCCAACCTCCACAGAGACCTAGCTTGCGACATAACGCTGCCGCCTTCGTACACCACGATGCTACGAAAGATGCGGTGAATATTTTATTTATAAAACTCTTTAAATTTAATTACTTATGCGTGGCTTCCACGTCCCACGTCGAGGGAATCGTTAAACATTCATCACCGCCGTGGAAGAAACGTAGTACGTCTCCGCCAAAAACGTAACCGACGTACTTCATCCTGGATATACCGGTGCCGTAAGGTTGCACGGACCAGTGAGTGACGTGAAAACTGGCGTTGACGATTGATATTTCATTCTCTTTTGTGGTGTGCTAAGTAAACAAACCGTCAGTATTGTCGTGATTAAAGTCTAGTCGTCGGTACCTACCAGATATCTTTCGGTAGCGACGGACACCAAAATCAAATCGTCACCGACTCTGACTTTCTCACCCTCGGACCTACAAAGAGTATTATTTAACGCAATCATTGATAATTACAGTAAATAGTACCTCTGTTTGCTGGCAGGATGCACTGTCCACCAGCAAGCTTCACCGTGACTGTGATCTTGTAAACCCACATCGAAGGCAAGTTTGTCGTTACTTGAGCTTGTTGAAAGACAAGCCAAGTACTGCAGAAAAATGTATTTTTAAAATTAAGAAACATCGTAGATAGTTCTTTCGAAACGTGAGAATTATTGTAGAAATCAAACCGTACGTTTGTTATTAATTAATTAACGTTAAAATCTTTTCCAACTTATTTAACTACGACAGTTACGTACCATGTCACTATTCTGATGTCTAAGAAGGATGGCATTGCCGTACAACAATGTCCTATGTCCAGAACCCGTACCCTTGCCCTAAAAGTAATTATCAGTGACTAATTTATTACGAAACTCTTGCAAATTAAGTTTAATATACAGTGAGTGCCATCACGATAAAATTAATGTAATAATAAATAACCAATTTAAAGATATATTTTTAGTACAAGAACAATTCAAAATCTACCACTGCAAATTTTGTTAGATTTCTCTACTGGCTATCGTGAAGTTATAAAAAGGCCATAATACTCATTGTGAAATACCAAAAAACACATTTAATATAAATTACCATTCCCAGTTATTACCGATAAAAAAATACTTGTTAAATCGTAATTTAAATTAAATACTCTTTTGACACGTCACATCACTAAAGTTGTCTAGGAAAACTACAACAGTTTAGAGTCTACAAAGTAATACCTATCCATATAATCGTAACCACAAAAATGTACTACAGTTCGAGTGATGCAAATACATTAATTATGATTACTTAAAAAAATCAGGTTAGACACCACAATATTAACAACTAAACATATTGTTAATAAATTAATTAGAATAGTACAGGCATGGGAAAGCTCTTGATACCGCCAATGTAGAATAAAGAATATACTTACTAAATTCTCCTGGCCCTGAAAAGCAAAAATACTAAGCAGGTGAAATACGAAAACAAAACAGGTCGTATCACACATAGGTGACGACAGATAAAAACAGGTAAAAAAAAACATTTGAAGAGGAATTATGAGTGTATTAGGATGTGGTTAAAGATACACGATGGTATACATAATTCCAGAAGATGATACTTTTTTGTGATCCACAGGTTTTAATACAATGTATATTTTTCACTCATTTTCCTTTTGGATTTTTATTAACTAATAAATTTAGTTTTAGAAGTTTTCTAATCATTACAAATTTGAGATTAATAATTTCAAAATTTATTTAAAAAGTGAATAATGCCAATCTCATTAAATTTGAAACACAAAATAACAGTGAAAACCTTTACCTTGTTAGTCTTTTTCTTGTTATATTCAGAACTTTTTAGAAATGTTAATGTAATGGAAGATTAGTTTTATGGATATATTATTATTCATATGCATTTTGTAGTACATTTTTTCCTATTTTAATCATTTATTGTTGTTAAAATAATAAAAAGAAAAACATAAAACTAGGGCAGTTAAAATGTGAACAGCAGTTTTATTGCCAAAAGCAGAAAAACTTTTTATTTGATAACATGATTAATACTTTTTTATCAGCTAATCAAATTTACTTTGAATTTAAATGCATATTATTCAGTGACAACTGATTTTTATAATGAGCTTGTTTCTATTTTTTTTGTCAGTTTTCAAACTTATTCATAATCAGAATTTATGCTGGAAAAACCTAGAACCAATTCATTTACACACATGTTTACCGTAATATCCGTTTGTCTAATTTGTATCTACAAATTATCCATCATACAGAACCTTGAAGGTTTATCCAAATGGACTCGTACTCCTTATTATAATAATTTAATGTTACACAAAACTTACGCGAACCCGCGGAATGCATATAATTTTTCAATTCTGTCACAACATCCAACAAATGTAATTCATTTGTCAAAGTTTCATACTACTGTTCATTTTACTCGAGATATACTTAAATGACAAAATAATATAGTTTGCAAATTTATAACTTACAGTTTCGCTGCCAGCTGCTGTTACCAATTCCTGCAAGGCACGGACAGACAATGCTTGTTCAATGACAAATACACATTGCGAGAGATCAGGGGGTATATTCTAAAAAATATAAATGTAACAAATGAAAATGACATTACTATTATTACTGATTACCTTGTCGGCTATATTTTCCAAGAAGCAGTGTCTGTTGCCGAAGCCCTCTGCTGCTAAACAAACACGTTCTCCTGTTGCAGTGCAGGAAAGACATACCATGTCTTCCTGCAATGAAAAGAAGGAATAAAACGTTTTTGTATTACAAATCAACCTCACTTACCGTCCGTAAGAATGAAACATCATCTTGTTCGGATCCCCCTTCGGCTTCAGCCATTTTGGGGGCTTATTTTACCCTGAAACAATTAAGAATCATAACTGACTTAAAATATATATGATTTCCTGTCAGTCATCTTCGATTTTTAAAATTTTTTAATCATGAATGCGGACAAGTGCTGACAACTTACAGTTTTTAGGAATGAAATACAAAATTCCCTAAAAAAATATATTTTTTTAATAAATTATTTTTAAGATAAAAGCTAAATATAATGCTTTATCTATTTGGATTAACAGTGAAGCATTTTGACTAACCAAATAAGTTGATACAAACGTGTTTCTGTCAACGACTTTAATTTTTTAATAATGTAAGGTTAGGTTTATTTTTATATCGAATAAATGCGACTAAATAGTTTATTTCAAAGCTCTTTTAACAGTTGTTGATTTTAATAAAATTAAATTGTGGACTACCTACCAGACACAAAAAAAAATTATTAAATTAGATTTGTTGTGAATCAAATAAATTTCGTAGTGCAAAATTCTACTTCAACACGCATCATTCATTAATGTTTTGCCGGCATCGCATAATTGTAAAATTTATAAAAAAATCCAAAATTATACCTACTTTTTGTAGTTTTTAACATTCAAAATATCCACACACAGCACAAAAAATTCGTTAATTCAGCACTGAGAATTCAGTCTATTTTTGAATACAGCTGTAGGCAAAGTATTTTTAGAATTGAGCCAAATAAAATTGGAAAATTTTCAACTGTAAAGGTGTTCCATGTTATATCAAAATTAATTAACCTTTTCTCAAAGTGATTGTAGGTCATATATCAAAATAAGGAGTTACCTGTTAAATACACCGTGAATTCCTTTTGGATACAAACCTTTCTCAATATATGAGCTAAATTCTTTACGAACAGGAAGTCAGAAAAACGTTTTTATAGCTTAATTTTCCTGCGAACTACTTATCTATATTAATAGTTTTATTTTTTTTCATTGAGGATCAATAAGGTTTTTTTTCTAGATTTGTGCTTGGTGTTCGTTGTAAAGTTTTATTCTAAATTTTTTTAAACCGTTCGTATTATTATATTTTCTGAAGGGTGGTGAAATAATGGATACGTTTAACAATGGAGATATTTTATTCAGTTAAAAGTAACAATTACATTATAATTGCGACAAATTTAACTTAAAGTACTGTTAACAAAATAAAAAAGAAAATAATATAAAATATATTTATTACAACTAATTTGCCTTGGTTACAATACAAAAAGTCCATCAACCTAAATAATAAATTATTTTTTGGTATGTCTGACATGTTTAGGAATTTACAATATGTACAAAGGTTCACGATAATTACATTAATAATAAAGTTAATAAACACAGCCAAAAATGCTGTTGACTATACAGAAAAATACAGAAATCTATTTAGATTACATTTTACTCATACAACTAGATGTAAAATAACTCGAATAATGACTTCCGAAAAATAGTTTTATATGTACATAAAAAGTTTTTGATTTTTTTATCTATAATTTTCAACACGAAATCGGTAATAAAAGCCATCTTTATATTTACCTACCTTATTTTTAGTCATATCGAAAATAAAAAGCTGCTGCGCGAAAGAAGTTGTATACAAAAATGTCAATAAGTGGTAATGTAAAGTCCGGTGTTGAGAAACTTTACGGAACTCGAGATATTTAAAGTACGTTGCTGATTGTTACAGCACGTAGTGACAGATACCTATTCCGGGGTACATATTTATATTATTTCCTCAAAATAATTCAAATAAAAATATATCCTACACATTTCTGTTAGAAATACTGATTAACGGAAGTTAATAACTTCTCAACCATTTTTCTGTGTGTAAACGAAAACAGGCAATTGTAGACCCATTGGCGTAACACCTATTATCCAATACATTGGTTTAAATACCATTTTTTAAGGATGATTTAAATATAATATGCCCAAAACCTCATAAAGCTAGTATTAAAAAGCATTTTTTTTTTTTGTATATCGTCATTAAACACTGACATGTCATAGGAATACAAAACAATGAAAAGAAAAATATAATCAAGGTGCTTCAGCGAATTATTTATTTAGTGATTTGCGTTCATTTGAAAATACTCTATACATTTATATTTTTATTATAACTATTCATATAATAAGTAAAATGTCACAAAAGTGATTTCTGTAGCTACACGAAAGCTATATATACAGGGTGATTCACAAACGGTGACCAAAAATGAAACCTTGTAATAGTTGGTGAATTTTAAGGGGTATTTCGTATAAAGTTTTTATTTAGTAAGTGAAATAATTCGAAATGGGGCACATGTATTTATGTAAACATTGTCCGAAACCTGAGGCCTTTTCCTAAAATTTAGACGCTTCAGTGGCGGACATACAGGGTATTGGTGGCATATTTTTCTAAATAAAATTGTACGCCACTGCTTTACGGTAGCAATCACGATATTTGCGAATTCGTTGTTCAATTTTCTACAAATTACTATACTCTCTTGTATTTTTCGAAAAAAGTCTGATTTTCGAGTAAAACTTAAAAAACCAACTGAGAACACACTTCGATATTCGAATATAATGCTTTTTAAAATCACATAGTGGGCTGTGATAGCAACTTTGACATTCTGAGCAGTTAGAAGAAACAATAAATAATGCTCTTTATCAGATTCAAGCAACAATAAATTTCGAAATGTCGGGCCTGTGTTCGTTGAAATGGAGGTAAATGGACTAATATTATTAATTTCTTTATTCGAAAAATAACCGAATGATTAGTGTTTGTCATGTCATTTAATTAAGTGTTTTCAGTGGGTTTTTTGTTTTACTAGAATCAGGCTTTTTTCGAAAAACAGAATAGAGTAATAATTTGTAGAAAACTGAAAGACGAATCTGAAAATATCGTAATTGTTACCGTAAAGCAGTGGCGTACTATTTTATTTAGAAAAATATGTCACCGATACCCTATATCTCCGGCACTGGAGCATTTAAATTTTAGAAAAAGGCGTCTGATTATTTAAAAATATTAAAAACATTTTTTGAAGTTTAACACCCTGTATCTTTTTAACGAAGCGTCTTAGATAAAAATTTATAAGAAAGACATCTTAAAATTCACCAAATAATACGAGGTTTCATTTTTGGTCACCATTGGTGAATCACCCTGTATAATAATAGTATGAATTTCATATTAATTAACTTTGGTAATTTTTAAAAAACATGTTCTATTTTTACTCTAGTACCAAAGGTATTAATCTGATTCAAACAAATTCAAACATTTTCTCAAGAAAATCTTATCAAATAAGGTCAGTGTTCTTCGATAACTCCACGGGAAAGATTCGTAACTGTCGATATTGCAAGAAACAACGACAATTAGGAATCTTGTCTGTAAGGTTAGATATCGTTAGTATACCTAGACTTTTGGTGTAGAAGAACTTTATGTGACTTAGTTTAAGATTTTTTTTTATTATTTTTTAATTTATTGGAGTACAATAGAATAAAAATGACTTTGGTAATGTTTTTCGAATGAAATATGTCTAAATGATTATAATTTAATCAAAAATTTAATCAAAAACAAGCATTTTAATATAGAACTCACAATTTTTAGAAAATCATGAATTTGCTTTTTTCGTGACTTCTTTTTTCACGTTTAAATGAAAATATTGCATTGTGACATAAATAAACTTTATTACTTAATTTTTTTCTTTGTTCTTACGTTTAAATGTTTTTTTTTTAATTTAACACAAAATTTTAGGATTCTTACAATATATACTGGATACGTGAAAAGTAGGGAGACTAAAAATGTCACGTCAACGACAGCATATTGGCTGTTAGTGGCTTTACCGAAGCAAGAAGATATCACAAGGGTATAGAAAATTAAACGAAAATATTTCGTTCGGGGGCGTCTTTTAAGAAATAAGCAAGGCTGTATATATATCTTAGAACTTGCTTCCGCACGATAAATTTCAATATTTTCTTTTTAATTATGTTTATTAATTACGACAATCATATAATAACACAAGACATAATTCACCATTTCCAAAAGATAGTGACGGTATTTGTCTTTAAGAAATATGAAAACTATCGAAGTGTAACTTCTAATTATTGCTATAGCGATTTAAATACTTGGAACGCTATTATGCCCAATTAACTTATGTTTTATGCAATTAGAGAAAATGTGTTAATTATTATGTTCCTCGGTAAACGTGATTTGATCTTAAAATTCCATTTCACAAGTATGCTTGATGTAATCTACTGTCTTCTCGGATATGTATCGGAAGATTTGACTAGACGCGAGTACATGGATACGGGTTGCAAAATATACAGAAACGATTAAAATGGTTTGGTGTGAAATGGGATTTTTTTTCGAAAGGTAAACGGAAACTAAGCAAACAAACACACGATATCTAGACGTAAATATAAAATCTTCATTTTTAAAATATTTTTACTGTGAAAAATTACTTTTTTAAATTTTCAATAGAATTATATACTTTAATCATGAAAATATAATATACTATATATTTCAATGTACTTGTTGTTCCTAAAATTCATTAATGCGGTATTTAAAAATATTTCAAATACACATACACGTACGTCTTCTCTAATTCCCTAGAGAAATGTAATTGAGGTATGTCAAGTATAATTAATTAATTATTATTTCATATTAGAGTCGCTCTTTCTAGAAACATCACGATTTCTGTATTCTTTCCTGACTTAACTAAAGGTCTATTCTATTAATAAGTTAAGTTTTGATTCTAACTTTCTATGCAAAGCAGAAAACTCAGTTTATGACGAGCGAATCTGTAAAATAAACTGGATGTCAACGAAAGTTATTAAAAATAACAAATTAAAACTATTATAGGATATTTCACAAAAAAAAAAGGAAAAATGTATCTGCCAACGAAACAAATAATTAAAATAATGAAATACTTACTCATTATTCTATTAATAACTAGCTTCGTGCCCTGCCAAAATATATAAGTCATGACCTTCGTCATTTGTTAACGTTCCAGTTCGCAGTAAATTACTTTCTAACATCACAACTCTGAAACGAAACGTTTCAATTACTGTTATAAATGAATACGATTTTAATCGAAATATTTAAAAAATATGTAAAAATGATCACTTTATGTGAAATTTGTTCGTTTCCTTTTTAGACCAGGGCGGATCTAAGTGGAGAGGAAAGAAAATTTTTTTCTGCATTACATTCAGCACAACTCACATGATAAAAGTGTAGATCCTTAGATCTGGGCGAGGTCCGGAACATTTTCAAATTTGCAAAAATCTTTAAAAATTTTTTAAAAATACCTAGTTTTTACTTATATTTTTTTTGTAAGTATCGATTGCTTTGTTACTTTTCGAGATATATCGAAAAATCCGTTAAAAATCTTCTCTTTTCTCTTCTTCTATACCTCGTTTACATTTATGTTTCCATACTTGCTATTTACTGCAAGCATAGCTCGCGGCAAGCAAAAGTAAATTTTTGAAAAATTTAGAAATACGTAATTATTTTTCCGAGATATATCGATTTTTTTAAAAAAGGCGCTCTCTAGAATTGGCTAGATTTTCTCAGCGGATGGCCCTACGGTAACGATTTTCGGTTTATTTTCTTTGTAAAGAGTTGTATTACCACGCTGTTATAAAATTTTGACAATTTTATTAATTTTAAGAATAGAAAAATAACTTTGAAGAAATTGCACTTTTCTTTTAACATGTTTTTCTCAAATAACTATTTCAATTTTTGTTTTATGAAAATGGCTTTTAAACTAAGAAGTTGCTGACATTTTTTCACTAATTTAAAAAACGAAAACGTTTTGCTATGACTTTCTGGAGGCGAGAAGCTTTTTCTTTAAAAAATAGGTAATTCAAAAAGAAAAAAGAAAAGTGTAAGAGTAAAGTCAAAGAAAGTCTGGTTCGAGTCAGTCGAATTTATTTGGAAGTAATTCATATCAATGACATTTATTTAAGATTTTTTGGGATCACGATTTCCACTTTTTGCAAAATTTTTGGTAATGAGGCTTTAGATTCAAATTCGACTCGACAAAATTTATGAGAAAAACACTTTCTGGGAGGGGATACAGCTAATAGACTTCCAACTCGAATTCAGCGTATCAAAATACGTAAGAAACACACTTGATCAAGGTCAGAATTTTTTTCTTAAATTTCTTTGCGTGATTTTTGACGATTTTTCGCTATTTTTGGTGATTTTTTACTATTATTTTGCGATTTTTGCAAAATCTGGGAGGATTCCCTTTAAAAGACTTTAGATTTGGATTCAGCACATCTAAATACATAAGAAACCCACTTGATCAAGCTCTGAACAAATTTTTTTGAATTTTTTTGCGCTCACTAACGTGATTTTCGGCGATTTTTTACTATTTTTGGCCAATTACTCAAAATTATAGACTATGAACCAATTTCGATCTTTTTTTTGATCAGATCTCACGAGCTAAGGAATTCGAATATCGTAGCTAACTGTCTAAATTGCACATATTTTGTTATAAAAGTTTATTATTTATGTGTTAAATATACTGTATACTTTACCCTATGCCATTGCACTTTTTCAATGAAAAAATTTGTTTACGTATATATTTCAACACTGAATATGAATATATTTAGTTATAATTATTACAATTATTTAAATAATTTTTGTTTAAACAAATTAATATTTTTTTTATTTAGAAGTACATTATTTTGTTAAATACAGATAAAATTAAGAAAAAATAGTACTTTAAAATTATAATTTTTGAAAAAAACTAAATTGCAAATTGATAAATGTAATCTAATAAAAAAAAAGTGTTAACTTTAAAAGTTTACTGTGGTCGTCCTAATCAACCGATTTCAATTTTTCAAAAACCATTTGGAAGGTTGAGCCGTCTTCTCTATTTGAAAAAATGTTCAANATTTGAAAATTAATTTTTTTGTTAAATACAGACAAAATTAAGAAAATATAGTACTTCAAAATTATAATTTTTGAAAAAAACTAAATTGCAAATTGATAAATGTAATCTAATAAAAAAAAAGTGTTAACTTTAAAAATTTATTGTAGCCGTCCTAATCAACCGATTTCAATTTTTCAAAAACCATTTGAAAGGTTGAGCCGTCTTTTCTATGTGAAAAAATGTTCAAGTATCTAGATGCTTTATTTGAGGATGTGCAACATTTTGAAATCTCCAAAATTTTTTTTCAAAATTTTTTTCAAAAAATTATTTTTCGAAAACAGACTAATGAAATTTGAAGTGTTGTTTTATTATACTCCAAAGTTTTTTTTACCAAAATTAGAATGTCCTCGGAGCAATTAAAATATTTTAAAAAAATTATCGCCTTTTTTTCATCAATTATCACTATTTTGCAACATCGGTTATAAATTTAAACATTTCTATCTTGCAGTATATTGTGCAAAATTCGATTCTAAAACTTTTTTTCCTCTCCAATATTCTTCCAAAATGCATAGGTTCCAAAATATAAGTAAAAAACTCAGATAAAATAGGTATTTTTTTAAATTTTTTAAACATTTTTGCAATTTTAAAAATGTTCCGGACCTCGCCCAGCTCTAGGGATCTACACTTTTATGATGTGTTATACTGAAGGTAATCCAGAAAAAATTGCTTGCCCCCTCTCACATCCACCTCAAAACAGATCCGCCCTGGTCTATTTAAATTCATAATGAACAAAAAAGCCCTAAATTACCCCGAAATGTGCATTAAAAGATGTACTTACTTATCCGAACCTAATAATTTGTACGTTCTCGAAGTGTCCGTAATTTCTTGGGTGATCTCCCCATTTTTGAGAGACCTGCCTTGCATCCCGTTCTTGTGGAAAGCTAGCACGCTATCCGGAAGACATACTGCAAAAGAACAACTCGATACCGACGAAATTACAAACAAACGTTACATACTTATACTATCAATTCTAAAATCGAACCGCAGCTCCGAAACCTGTTTCTTGTTCATCTTAAGTTTCCCTTGGGGCGTAACCACCCTTACCACATTGTCGTAACAAACCAAAATCGAGTCTTTATCCAGTTGGGTGACGTTCACTACGTCGATGTTCTCGCGACGCGGGATAACCGTGGCCGTACCGTCCATCTCCTGCAGTTCGTCCGAATGGAACCAGCTCGCACCTAGTTATCGCCAGAACGGAATTATTACGGAATTAATTCACAAACTCGTCATTTACCTGAATTCATGTTTATCAAATCCAACTTGAACCTGTTGGGCTGATACATCTGCTTGATAGACACGCACACCATCGGGTATTCCAATTCGGGCGTTATTATCATTTCGAAGACGTTCAGCGGATTTGGCAAAACGCACTCCACATGCTAGAAGGAAAATGAGACATACGTTGACCTGAACCTGAATCGCGTCTTAACAGAAAGCTTACCTTCAAGAGCATAAATTTATTTAGCGGGTCGTACCACTGCATGAGAAAAATACCGTTCGAGGTAGCACCGCACAGATATTTGTAACCGTTGTAAGGGTTCCTCGCCACGCAGCATTTTTGGGTGCCGCGGGTATCGGGAACCCTCGTGGTTAAGGCAAACTTTCTCGGTACCAGACGTTCGGGGATCCGGTTCATGTGCAGACTAAACCTATGGGACTGTTTGTTTTGTAACGCCAGGAGATCGTGTCGATATAGTTGCGGCGTTTTCCCTGAAATACCAAGCTCACAGACGAATCCTTGATTATTTTTATAAAATACGCTCACCTGACAGCGTCATAAGGACGTCTTTTATAACGTACATCCAGACAGTCCTCCTGTTGTACAGCTGATCGATGCACGTTTCGTGTAACTCATTCAGATTCAAATTATATATGCCTTCCTCTGCACCGATAAGGATATGTTGATCTCGCGTATCCGGGTTGATCCAGGACGCTGTACAGTGTATTCTGAGAGGACAACCATTGAATACCTGGGAAAGTACAAAAACGGGTGTTTGCACAATTAACACGGAATAAAAATGAAAGCCGGATTGAGAAAGGCACCGATTGACGTGATATTTTAACAGTGAGTAGAAAATTGCTCAAGAAACAAAAGTAACGTAGTGCCGATGTGTGCTTTCACCCTGGGGGTGAATGTCACCCCTTCTCGCAGGTGGCACCCATTTTAATTGCAAAAATCAATGAATTCTAAGCAAAAAATGCTCTATAAAGTTTTTTCCAAAAAGTAATGTTGATTTTTCATCTAAAAAGTGCAAGTTTTTCAACCATTTTTGATAAATAACTCAAAAACCTTGCGTTTTATCGAAAAACTCATATAAATCAAAAATAAAGCTTTTGAAATAACGAATCGACTCATTTTTTGTTGATTACCGTAGATGTAATATTAACCGAGTTTAAACTCGGTAAAGTAATAGCAAAAGAACTAATTTTTCGAAGAAAATGAATCTCACTCTTTTGAAGTGCTTGAAAAGACGTTTAAAATGCTTTTTGAAAAAATTTCGTAGCTCAAAAACTCGCGGAGTTATGATGAAAATAAAATGGTCATCTCATTTTTTCGTAGAAAAAATCAACAATAAAATCTATGGCTGAACCATAAAAATAGAAACTAAGCGTAATCCATGTACAGTTGACTTTATTTAGGTACTAATAGTAGGCACTGCAATTTTGCCCGGTTTAAAATGCCTAAATTTAAAAATAAGTTTGAAATTTTTAATGAAAAAAAAAAATTTTTAATTTTAAAAAAAATTTATTTTTCTCGAAATAACTCAAAAACTAAACAAGATACATGAAAAATGCAAGATCAAAATTAAAGGTATTTTTTTATAATATTTTTGCTTTCTTTCAATTTTTTTGTAGAGCAAAAATTAACTGAGATATTACATTCTTTAGTTTGCATTTGCGTGTAAGGACCACCTTCTTTGAGCCCTTAAAACCTAAAAATCTCGAAAACGAAGAGTTCAAGACCCTTCAACTATAAAGGTTGATTTGCAGCTCTTGCAATTCCCTGCAAATTGCTTTTTAAAGCGATGAAAAATATTAAAAATTAAAAAAGTTATCGTGAAAAAACTAATTGTATTATTCATTGAAAATTGTTGGATCTTTAAATGGCTTAATTTCTGATAGTTTAAAGTAATCTCGTTGAATTTAGTAATGTATCGTTGAGTGTTTTGAAGCCGGTAAAAATTCTTCAATTCCTTAATAAGGGTTGTTTTTAAGGGTTGAAATGTTGCAATGAATCATCAGTAATATTATAAACAGTGATGAGTTTTTCATTCATTATAAATGCTATGAAGATCTGAAAAAAATTTTGTGCTTTATTTTCTGCAACAAGGGTGGCTTTTAAGGGTTGAAACGTTGCAATAAATCATGTATTATTTCATAAACAGTAAAAAATATTCAATTCTTCATTATTGCCCCATCAAAAAATTTCAGAGCTGTGAAAACTAATTTTTGTTTTTTTTCCTCACAAAGGGTGGATTTTAAGGGTTGAAATGTTGCTACAGATCAAAAATTATTATTCAAAACATAGAAGAATGCTTATTCTATGACATAACACTTAAATCTATGGTTTTTACGTTTTTTGCAAGAAGGGGTAGTTTTCACCCCTTAAAAACAATAAGCACACATTATGGGTATGTAACTTTTGTAAAGGAGGGATGAAAATCGGTGCGTGCGTCAAGAATTCGGAGGTAATACCCTATTTTTACCGTTGTATACTAGACTAAATGTTTTCGGAGTAATTATATACAATAGAAATGGCATCTGAGTATGGGCGACATATAACCTACAAAATCGCATTACAATATTTTCAAATACATTACCTTCGAAAAGCACGCTCCCATGTGAACTTTCGGGGTTGGAGGCAACCCGTTACTCGGAGGTCGCGGGGGCGTGTGTCTCCGACGATGCTTCCTAGGGGGCACCGGGGGGCAAGTAACTAAATCGGGTGCACTCGTATCGTGATTGTTAGTATCTTGTTCAGTTCCTGCGCAAGAGGATCAATTTTTAGCCCCAAATTACAACAAACAGCGAGAATATTACCGTTAACTTCCCTATCTCTATCAGTCGCACGTCCGCTATCGCTAAGTGACCTTTGCCGTTGGCCGTTTATGTTCATCGAATTTACAAGACCAAAGATCTCATCTACCGAGGAATGTCTTCTGGGCGAACCGTTAAATGCGGGCTCCGCCGTGGGACTAGAAGGTATTGTATGAATGTCGCACTTCACCGTCGCGTCCGTATCCTGCACGGGAAGCGTCGCCCTAAAAAATTAAGAGATCGTAGGTGAAGCGATAACTTCATATTAAAAATCCAAGGGTTAGGTTAATATCAAACAAGGCCAAACGAAAAAAGCAAAAGCTTCGGAAATCGATAACATTCAAAATTTACTTACAGCTGAGAAGTAAAAAAGTAGTGGAAGGGACATAACGGAAATGTTTTGAATTACTACTAACTAACACATTTTCTTAAAAGATTCACATACATCATGAAACATTTTTTCTTGAGCCAGCTTTAACGACACATACAGCTAATGGTAAACATTACAAAGTGATTAGGAATATTTAAATTTATTAATGATGTGATGATTTCAGTCACTCCTACATGAGATACTTGTGCTTCTATGTACGTACTAGTACTATTATTTAATACACTACTTGGCTTCATTGATTAACTGTAATTTGTGACCCTCACGAATAATGGAGGTATCGTTTATAACAATACGGAGCGATGAACATTATTTATCTAATTATATAATTTTAAAAATAATAACTTTTTACATTACTACAAATTAATTAAACTTGATTCGTTAACTTTTTGTAACAATCCTTAAAAAACTTCAATGTAAATATTAAAACCGCTGGAAAAGATTTTCTTTTTTAATAAATAAAACAGCTAAAATAAAAAAAAACCTATCTACCTCAAGCAATCATCTAAAAATATGATAAAACCATGTATTTACTAATTATATAGCACATTAATAATTTTTTAATTTTACTTTTACTTTTTATACATAAACGTAACTTGAATAAAAGTATTTTCTAATAAAATTAATTAATTTATGACAGATGAAATATTAATACAGGGTGTCGTAATATTCTGGGTACATGGAACTATCAAATGGTTAAACTCTACCCAAAGCTGCTTCGTTTAGCCACTAGAGGGCGATACATTTGCAAAGATTAATTTTCCTTTTGTATACTAGATGTCATTTTTTGACATTAGACCAGGGTGGATCTGTTTTGAGGTGGATGTGAAAAGGGGCAAGCTATTTTTTTCTGTATAACTCACATAATAGAAGTGTAGATCCCTAGATCTGGGTGAGGTCCGAACATTTGCAAAAATGTTTAAAAAATATGAAAAAAAGCTATTTTATCTGAGTTTCTTACTTACTCGTATATCTTGGAACCTATGCATTTTGGAAGAATATTGAAAAGGAAAAAAGTTTTAGAATTGAATTTTGCACAATATACTGCAATTTGCAAATGTTTAAATTTATTACTGATGTTGCAAAATAGCAATAATTGATGAAAATAAGGCAAAATAATCAAGTTTTTTTGGATAATTTTTTTTAAATATTTTAATTGCTCTGAGGACATTCTAATTTTGGTAAAAAAAACTTTGGGGTATAATAAAACAACACATCAAATTTCATTAAAATCGGTTTGATAGTTTTTGAAAAAGAATTTTTTTTTTAAATTTTGAAAAAAAATTTGGAGATTTCAAAATGTTGTACAGCCTCAAATAAAGCATCTAAATACTTGAAAATTTTTTCACATAGAAAAGACCGCTCAACCTCTCAAATGATTTTTTAAACATCGAAATCGGTTGATTAGGACGGCCACAATAATTTTTTTTTAAATTTTTAAACAATTAGATTAATTTATCAATTTGCAATTTAGTTTTTTTCAAAAATTATAAATTTAAAGTACTATTTTTTCTTAATTTTATCTGTATTTAACAAAAAAAATTATTTATTTTAATTGGTTTAAACAAAAATTATTTAAATAATTGTAATAATTATAACTAAATACATTCATATTCAGTGTTTATGACTTATCTATGTTGCTGATAACTTATAGATATGAAAATTTTTTCTAGTTTAGAATTCGGAAATACGAAGCCACTGGATCAAAGATTATTGCTAAATTGTTTATAAATTAACGGTAACTGCCGAAAACTTGGACCTCCTATATCTCGAGAACCAATAAACGAAATTTAACTTTTTTTTTTTTAAAAGAAGCGTCTTTCCGAGTACTTTAAAACTATAATTTTTGAAAAAAACTAAATTGCAAATTGATAAATGTAATCTGATTGTTTAAAAATGAAAAAAAAGAGTATTAATTTTTAAAAATTGACTGTGGCCGTCCTAATAAACAGATTTCAATTTTTCAAAAACCATTTGAGAGGTTGAGCTGTCTTTTCTATGTGAAAAAAATTTCAAGTATATAGATGCTTTATTTGAGGCTGCGCAACATTTTGAAAATTCGAAAAAAATTGTTCAAAATTAAAAAAAAATATTTTGCAAAAACTATCCAACCCATTTTAATGAAATTTGGTGTTTTATTAAACTCTAAGTTCCTTTTACCAAAATGAGAATGCCCTCTGAGCAATTAAAATATTTTTAAAAAATTATCCAAAAAAAAAACTTGATTATTTTGCCTTTTTTTCATCAATTTCATTTCCATTTACAACATCGGTAATAAATTTAAACATTTTTAATTTACAGTATATCGTCCAAAATTCAATTCTAAAACTTTTTTCCTCTTCAATATTCTTCCAAAATACGTAGGTTCCAATATATAATTAAAAAACTCAAATAAAATAGGTATTTTTTAAATTTTTTAAATAATTTTGTTCTTTGTTATGTTCTTATGTACTTTTTCAGGTCAATTTATTTACAAATTCAGTTTAAATAAACATAAAGGGCTTTTTATAAGTTTTTTCGCACTTATTGTAAATATTTTGTATTTCTATCAATCACCAACACATTTTTGATACAAATCCGATTTAATTGCTTTTAAAAATTTACTGCAAAAACCTAAATATTTTCAATGACCTCTAGAGCTAAGTTTTATTAAAATATCTCATCATGACTATCAGAATCTGGGGTAGTTCGGTGTACGTGGAATATTGCAACACCGTATATTTCTTCAAATTACTAAAAGCATCCAACAAAACTATAAACGTTAAGTACATACATGATTTTGACTAAAAGAAAAATTAAATCGACACTTATGCATACGACTAATGGCACGATTGCAACACGTAACTTACTGTTGTTCGTAGTCCGTTGGGTGATACTTGAAGGCTCCCCTAGAATAATCAAACAACAATTCAACTACTGGTCAAATAATTTAAAAAAAGTCAACCATGATTGCGGAAACGTACACCTCCCCCTCTTAGAATGAAAGCAGGAAGCGTTAAAGAAAAGTGCGGCAAACAAAAAAAAAACAAGCCAGGAGTGTGTGTGGGGTTAATAAGCTGATCAAAATGGTTTCAAATTACCTCATCATTAACTCTTCGTCAATGTACTGCAAGAGACTCCTAAATAACATACAACAAATTAAATAAAAAGAATTTAAATGGAGGAAACCAGTCAAAAATATGATAAATTTAGTGTGGCCCAAGTAGTTTGCATCGCATTCTTTCTCATTTATTAAAAATTGTCATTGTAAAAATATAAATAGATATGTTTAAAAAATTAGATTATTTATAACTTCCAGACTGTTCATACATTAATTTAATGACATTAGAGATGTGGTGTATGTCTCTAAAACTTTACGAAAACAATCCCGAGATACAAACTCTGAGCTCCACTGTACAGAGTTGGAAAAGAAACTATATATTTAAAATTTTCATTAGTTGAGGTAAGTCATTTAAAACGTGTTAATAAAAAACTACAGAAAAAACGTACAGGGTAAACAAAAAGAAAAAGAACTTATCGGTTAATGAACTGTAAACGTTTCTAAAGACAAATTTTGCGTGAATTACTAAATAGCAAACAAAATCAATCTCGTTTTTAACCCTGCAGTTTAAATTTTGTTTAGAAAATAACTATGCACAGAGTTTATTGGTTATAGCGAAAGCGACTACACTGCAAAAAAATATTCGGAAACACTGCAAAATAAAACGAATACATTCAAAACAACAACAAAACAAAAACACACGTCAATCAAACACCCTCACATAGACCATCTAACCTCAGTGACATTTTCAAAATTTGCGACCCAGTCATAGCTTTTCTCTCAGCACTAAGAAAATAACGATAGCCAATTAAAAGCCGGAATAACTTGTATGATACATATACAGGGTGTCCCGAAATTCATGCAACAAAATTTGGCCACAGATTCTTAGGACAAATTTAGGGGACCGGTATTTTTTATTTTTGCCAAGTGGCCCCCTCTTTCGGAGTCACAGCCCCCTGAAGTCCGCCCCTAAGAATAATCTTTTTTTTTATATCTCACAACCCTGATGTACGAGAATCGCCAAATTTGGTACACAGGGGTTGTATGACATGTGGAATCTGATGGTGCAACGTTTTTTGGCGGGGAACCCCCTTAAGACAAGTTTTCGTGGTCCCCCTTGTCTTTGGAGTCAAAAAAATTTGGTCGCATATTTAAATTTCTTAAAAATTATCAGTCCACTAGAAAGCCATTAAATTTTGCAATGTTTTCGAAAAAATGTGAAAATGTGATCGAATGCATATCGTGATTCGCCATTTTCCTCAAAAACATTGCGTTTTACGAAATAAATATCAAGAGACAAAAAAGTTTCTAAATTCAATGGCTTTCTAGCTAACTAATAAAAAAAAATCAAATTTGCGACCAAATTTCTCTGGTTCCAAAGACAAGGGGACCCACGAAAAAGTGTCTTAAGGGGGTTTCACACCAAAAAGCGTAGCACTGTGAGATTCCACATGTCATAAAACCCCTGTGTACCAAATTTAGTGATTCTCGTACAACATGGTTTTGAGATATAAAAAATACTTCTTAGCGGCAGTTTTCAGGGGGCTGTAACTCCGAAAGAGGGGGCCAGTTGGCAAAAAGAAAAAATACGGGTCCCCTAAATTTTTCCTAAGAATCTTACGACCAAATTTTGTTGCATGAATTTCGGGACACCCTGTATATGTAGTGCAACTGTGATTGGATAAAAATTAATACACAATTATGCACAATGCGTCATTCAAAAGAAAAATAAAAAAAATTCGTAATTAAAAATTAAAAATTGATTAATTACTTGACTTAACAACAAAACTTAACAAAACTGAACATACTTTGCATAATGTGCACAAATACAAATGCTATAAAAAAAAAATTTACTGGGGAATATTACCGAACAAGAATATTTACTTACTTTTCTCGATTGAGAGAGTCGAAAGCAGTCCCGATGCCGCATTTTTGATTTTGGTGTTCTACGCAATTGTGTACACTGGTGACGTTATTCATAATGTCCATTAGATCCCAAGGCTGTCCTTTATCTTCAACGATCACATTTGCTGAAACAGATCGACCGTCAGGACGTATTACATTAAATTTAACCAAAGGTTTCACCCACCTGTCTTTTGTATGGTATTGTTTGATTCGTCTATGTGCTGTATGTCCACGTTCACGTGAACGTTCTGCTGTTTTGGTCGTGATGTCAGTCGTGATGCGATTCTCTGTGGCACATTCGGCACAGCCTAAAAGACACATTTTGTAATTTCGTCTTGAAATAACCGATTACCACTCGAAGAACATCGAACATCCAACATTAAAACAAATTGCATAAATGTGAATCATATTGTTTATAAAATTCTGTTATGAAATAAGTGAAAATATAAATAGGAATAGATAAACAGTCGAGTTATTTATGTATGCGTAATTATGTAAGGAAAATACTTTATAGGCAGTAGACGATAACAAACTTGCCGTTCGGTGACCGTCAAACCATGTCCTTCGCTATTTTTAATAAACAGTTATCATGTTAGGTCAAAACACCAAATGACTAAAGAATTTTGAGATAAATATCTTTTTAATCAGTATTTGATCATGAAATGCTAATTTATACTTGATGTTCATTGTTTCGGTTAACATAAAAGTGTAAATATAACAATAACATATAATTACCCCATCCTCATCTGGTTCAAGATCTGTGAACATGTGCGAAGGATTATTTACTTTTTGCAATAGTTCTAAAGCCAGTCTTCTATGCATATCTCCTTGGAAAAAAGCATGCTGAAAAGCAACCGATGAGTTTTAATTCATTATTTTATCGAAGTATATTATTTTTAATACCTGCAACAATTTTTCTGCTGTAGGTCGCTTCTTTGGGTTTTTTGTTAAAGCCACTTTTACGAAATTGTGAAAAGTAGGACTCCTACAAAAATATTAAAACGTAAGGAGTTTTGATTTTATGCACAGAAACTACCTATTTTTTTTGTAACGTCTCCCAATATTAAGTAAAAAGTATAAACTCAACACCTCTACAAATTCAAGAAAACTGCAAAAAAATGACATCACATACCACTTTTCCTTGTCTTTTAAAGTCGGAGGTTTGAATCCACTTTTCGACATCAAGAATAAAGCCCTCATTGGATGCAAATCAAACATTGGAGGTTGCAACTCCGCCAGTTCTATTGCAGTTATCCCCGTCGCCCAAATATCACAAAGCTGATTGTAACCCCCTTTACGTTCGACTGCAGCTACCTAAAATGAATGTATTTATAACTTGTCAGACCCTAATAATAGAAACTTTACCTCGGGTGCCATCCAATATGGTGTTCCAATGAAAGACTTTCTCTTATTAATTGTTGCCGTTATTTGTGCCGAAACGCCAAAGTCTGCTAATTTAACATCACCACTTTCCGTCAATAATATATTAGCTCCCTTGATGTCCCTATGCATTTTGCCCATACCGTGAAGGTACTGAAGGCCTAATAATGTTTCGCGACACATGTATGCTATTTGATTTTCTGCTAAAGGTCCTGTAACTGAACAAAATGTTAATTTTTGCAGTGAAAATATTTAAGCAGATTGTCCTACTGTGATATATATCCTGTAGTGATCCGCCACCACAGTATTCCATGCAAATCCATAATTTATCCCGTCTCAAATAACTACCATAATAAGCTATTATATTAGGATGTCGACAGTCCTTCATCATAAGTATCTCCTGTTGTATGATCCCAAAGTCATCTCCTGTGATGGGAAATATTTTACATTTTATATCAGAAAGTTAATAAACTCTTACCAGGCTCCAGTTTTATAACTTTAATAGCAGCTAAGTCATTTGTAGACAGTCTTTTTGCCTGCGACAGAAACAACGTATGTGAACAAAAGGAATGTTAAGAGAAAATAAATTATTTGATATTTATGTACCTTATAGACATCTCCGTAAGTTCCACTCCCAATTCTTTGTATTAACTCGTAGTCATCCTGAGGATTCCTTCGAGAAATATCCGAGCTCAATACCCCTTGAGCCATTTTACAAAACTTTTACTCCTTACATTTTACGTATTGTATGTTTAAGTAGGCAAATAAAATGTTTACGTGAATTTGACTTTGACAGCAAATACTCTGTGAGTAGACATGACATATTACTTACAGTGTGGACACGACACAAAAAAACAAAACCCTATCGCTTGGCCACAGAACTATAAACTAAAAAATTACTTTACAAGACGGCGTGGCGTAACGTAAATCCAAATAATGTCGTCTTTTATGGCAAATTTAGTGAAATTTAAATCATACACGTATGAATCTTCGTTGCCCGTGAGGAAGGCCCCACCAAAGAAACATTTGACAAGTGTCGGTAAACTGGAAACTAGTAGAGGTAAGTTGGCAATAAACAACGTTTAAAAAATAGGTTGTGGTTCATCCATAGGCGTAGTTAAAAATTATGCTTATTTTTCTTCGGGTTGAGTTTGCTTAATAGGTTAGAAATCGTATTGCTTTTTAATGTTTTAGGTCACATATTGCTATAGATTTATAGCTGTCACGAATGCAATTGTTATGTGTATTTTAGCGTTTTTATTGAATTCATGATTTCCCTTTTTGAAATTTTCTGAGGTTTTCGCCCTTTTATGGTATGCAACCTTAGATATTGTAAAGTCCCCATATTACAGTACAGGAAATGTACAGTATGTGGCGAGAAAATTGTTTTACTAGTTTTGAAATTTCAAAAATTATATTTCTTTGAACTGACCTTTTGTTAGTTTATCGCACATTTCTAAACTGTTGTACTTTCCAATAACTCAATGCTGATTCTGGATACATGTCCTTCGTATAAGATTATAAACACTCGTTGAGGTTATTGCCAATCATTTGGAGAATTTTAATGTTACCATTGATTGTATTTAAGAAAGAAAAATAGTCATCGACATTTATAAGGAATTTTAATAATTGAATTGGAAGGAAATAGTCAATGGCCGTTGATGTTTATGGTCACTCACTTTGGTCATTTTTTTTTGGTAATCACTAGTTTTTATACGTTTTACTTACCTCATCTTTTCTCAAAATTTTTGCTTAAAATATTGACGAGTCATTTATTGATTTTCAGTAATTTTGCACAAAAAACAGGTAAAAAACATTTGATGATTAGACAGTTCGTTTTCCTTGCAATAAAATCAAGTAAGCTGCAGATTTGGATCTATTGGCCAACATTGGCACTGCTATCTATATCACAAAGGAGATTTGGCCAATATCATCTCCCCAAACAAAAAAAAGTAATTATTCTATTTATTGACCTTATTTTGTAAGAATTTTATTTTATATAGAACTTCACCTAAAGAAATGACCGATTATCCTGTGTGAAAAAAACTGCTCATTTAAAAAAATTATAAGCTTTATTTATAGAAACAAGTAATAAAAACATTATTTACAGATTAAAGCTTTACGAAACATTTAACAATTTTAAATAGACAATATAATACAATAATAAATGAATAAATATAATAGTCAGATATACGATTTAGCTGTTATTATTCTTTAAAACATCTTTCAGTATCGAACTAGAATTTCTACTTTGAGGGAAATCATCGAAGGTGGGCAAAACGATTTCACTTAAAACGATAGGCGACTGTCGAGGCGTAGACGGTTTGCCGTTAGGTTCGGATTTTTCCGTTTCGGAAGCATTCAATAAACTAGGGACAACCCTTGGCTTCGACTCGTTTTCTAAAAACTCGATAAACGCCCGAGACAAGGTTTCTTGACTGGAAGATTGCGGTGCCAGCAACGAACCCAACCAAGACTCTTGTCGAGACGCGTTTAACGAGACTTTATCGTGATCTTGTTGATTGAAGTCCAAGACGGTGGCGATAATTTTTAGAATCTGCCGTTGGTCCTTGTTTAAGTTGTTATTAGACGACACGAGCCCAATTATCAGACTTTTTATGAGGGATTTCTCAATTTTCCCGTCTGTTTGACTCGTGGCCTTTTTCAGGTTCTCCTCGCTTTTCGATAGCTTTTCCTGCAGCTGCGAAGCTGCAAAATAAAAGTTTTTAATAAAAATAAGTAATGTACGTCCGATATTACTACTAGCAGGCAAATTTATTATTTTAAATATGTTCGTTAGTAAAAAAAAATGTGATCTTTTTTGAAGATTATAGTGAGAAAAGTAAGTTTTTGCCTTATTGCACGAAATAAGTAATTAGTAACTTTAATTCTTATGCTGCGTGCAAAAGAATACGTTACACCCCACGTCGATGTTAAAGACAGGAAGTAAGTGTTACTCAGGGACTGATTTTTCAAAATTTTACCAGTACCTGATGTAATACTCACTCCCTGCACTTCCAAAATGCAGTCATGCTAACTCCATGCCATGGGAAATGAAAGAAAACTGTAAAAAAACAACTGTTAGCTAAAAATTTAAATAAACAAACAAAAAAAGCAAAAATCAACAATTCAACTTGAAAAAAAAAAAATGGTGTAATTAAAACTACATTTTGTCGATCCCATTCGGTACCTGGGGAACTAAACAACCTCACAGTTACCAGATGAGATTAAGAAAACATAGCCAAGCGTGCACGGTGCTCATACATAAATGCAAAATCAAAATGGGTGCGGGGATAAACGGCAGCAATCGTGTTTATTTTAAACGATGATTGAAGTAAATAAGTATTTAAAGTATTGTGGTTTTTCAGGTTGTTAGACTTACATCGCATTTCACTGGCCTTGTTCTCGGGCTAGGCTCTGTGGTCAAAGTTTCCTAGCAACCGTAAAGAAGTGAAAAGTAATTGTGTAATCAACGGCCACAGCAAAAGAACCCGAAAAACCATCATATTTTAAATACTAACGTGTAAAAGCCTTAAAACCAGAAGTAAATAAGATCTGATCTCCATAAAATTACGAAGGTAAATCTACAAAAAGCATTTAAAATAAACTAAAAACTTTCGATAGCTGCTTGCAAAACATTACCCTCAGACCGAGCGATTCTGCAAGAAGATATCAAACCAAGACAACAAAAACCATCAACAAACATGCAAAAAATTACAAGCTGTTAGAGATAAAGGAAAAATGTAACGTCGAAATTTAACCACCTTGTCGTATTATTAAACATGTAACGTGAGAAAAAAATGGTATTATAGGTAGTTATTGCGAGGCTGATATAGCAGTTCATGACAATATCGACTGATATTCTGGGATCACAACCACCCAGAATTACCAGCTGATATTTCACGGACAACCACTTTTAATGAAACTGAAAATATTTATCCACTGTTACTGTTAATGAGAGTTCCGAGAAATTAATTACAAACGACTTTGGAATATTACCTTCCTCTTTCAGTGCGCTAACAAGTTTTTTTGAGTTATCCAACTGATCGGACAGACGCGAAGCTGCCTGCAACCCTTGCTTGCTCTCCTCCAACTGCGACTTTAAACTGGCTATTTCCCTTTTTAGATCGTCCTGAACTTTCTTCTCCGCGTTTATTTGTCGTCTGATCCTCTCAGTTTCTTTCATAACGTCCTTCTCCTTATCTACAAAACACGATTGTTTAAAGCCAAGATTAAAAGGGAAATAAAAAGATAACTCCCAAAACGATTTCAGTGGTAAACCGCAGTTATCTGAGCAAGTATTTTTCAAAAAACAGTTGATTTTAAAATAATGCTCGTTATATACTTTTATAAGTTGTTTTGTCTACCTGTTTCTGATAAAATTGTTTGTTACTTTAGATGCTTATCATGAGACAAGGATTTTGAAATATTTAGTGATTGTGAGATTATACATCTCAGACTGAATTACATTTATTCTAAAATATATCAAAAGTATTGAAAAAATTTGCAACAATTTTCTTTTCAGAATAGACTGAAAGACAGTATCAGCTGTTTTTTTTTTGAAAAATAAATTTTTCCTCGTAGTAACATCTATTTAGATTTTAATTTGATTTAATCCAATAAAAAATCTTGTGAACAATAAGAAAATAACTCTGTATCAATCACTTGAGGAAAAATAAAAAAAAGTTTTGCAAATAGATATAGAACTCTTCGAAATCTTTTCTATTTAACGGGGTACTCTGGTCTAGAATTTGAAAAAAATCAATTTTTTTTGAATATTTTTTAAATTTAGACCTTCAGTAATATGTTCTTTAGCGGATTTTTCAAAATTCGAATTATTTTCGGAGTTATAGCAACTTTTATAACGTGGCGAACATTACAGGGTAGACGTTCAAGGTCAATGTAATGTATTTTGTTGGTTTGGTTTAGCTGAAAGAACTGCAGAAAATATCGAGTATCTAAGTAGAAGAAGGCCCAATGTATGGATCAGAGATTGGCGATCTCAGTTACGCTGCCCGAAACTTTGTCTCAAATTTTAAATGTGTTTTTCTCGAAATTACTTTTTTCGACATAGTCGACATGATATCTCAAGTTCTACTCAATCCATTTACTTGAAATTTGGTGGAAATCTTCTTTGTATATATATCCATCTATAGTTGGGAGCTTGGATTTAGAAAAAATTTTTTTTTACTATTTTAGTCAAAAAACGGGCAAAAAAATTTTTTTTTTTCATATTGTCGACATTTTGCTAACTTTTTTTTGCGAGATCCAGATCATAGCGACGTCTTTACTGATCAAGAATTTTTCTCAATCGATTTACTTGAAATTTGGTGGAAATCTTCTTTGTATATTCATCTATAGTTGTGACCTTGGATTTTGAAAAAAAATTTTATTTACTAATTTTAAAAATGTCAAAAAACGCAAAAAAATTTTTTTTTGCCATTTTGCAAACTTTTTTTTAGCGAAATCTAAACCATAGCGACGTCTTTACTGATCAAGAATTTTTCTCAATCGATTTACTTGAAATTTGGTGGAAATCTTCGTATCTATAGTTGGAATCTTGGATTTTGGAAAAAAAAAATTACTATTTTAAAAAAGTTAAAAAACGGGCAAAAATTATTTTCAAATTTTGTTAACTTTTTTTTACGAGATCCAGACCATAGTGACGTCTTCACTGATCAAGAATTTTTCTCAATCCATTTACTTGAAATTTGGTGGCAATCTTCTTTGAATATCCATCTATAGTTGGGATCTTGGATTTTGAGAAAAAAATTGTTTTATTTTAAAAAAGTCAAAAAATGGGCATTTTCTTCAAATTGTCGCTATTTTGCTAACTTTTTTTTTTACGAGATCCAGACCATAGAGACGTCTTTACTGATCAAGAATTTTTTATTTTTTTGTTTCACACCACTACAAGGGTTGGAAAGATGTCGAACAGGACACACCTTTTTTTTTCGTATTTTGAAAATATCAATAAATTGGTTATAAAATAATGAATAGTAAAAATGTTTTCCATTTTTTTTTATTCTACTCGGAAAAAAACCGCTCAAATTTAGGCCTCTAGACCAGAATACCCCCTTAAAACTTTTAGCTTACAAATTTCTTCGCTGTGAAAGTTCTCTACGTCTGTCACTGTGGAACTGTTAATAAAAATTAAAAATAAAAACATTTTACATCAAAAGCATACCTTTTTGAAACTGTTCCAAAACGAACTGCAGATTTGTCAAAGCCGCGACATGCTTGTTGTTGAGGTCTTCCGCGTCGGATATTTTATTTCTCAGCGAGTCTCGTTCGTTCATAACAGCCTGAAGCTGACTTTGGAGCGACTCCACTTGCTGGTTAGCTCGAATGCTAACGGAAGTATACATGGTACTGGAACTCTTTTCTCTTTCTTCTATCTCGTTAACCTTTTCCTGTAGCTCGGCGTTTTTCTGCTCTGCTTGTAACAACTCTTGAGTGTAGTGCTCCTCCAGTTCGATTAAATGAGTTTGAAGTCTGTCTACTTTCTTCTGCAAGGTGATTTCTTTTTCGGAAGGATTGGACTTTTCCCCCAACAGCTGTTGGACTTTCGACTGTTCTTCTAGTAGATTCTTTGCCATAATTTCGCATTTCTCTTTCAAAAAGTTGTTTTGATCGATGAGCTTCTCAATTTCTTGATTTTTCGCATCGACTTCGTCAGGTCTCGGGCTGCTTTTCAACTGATTTAGTTCCAATTCCAGGTTCTTGCATTTTTGTGTTTCCATGTTTAAAAACTGGGAAATGCGTTGGATTTCATTGTGATATGCCACACTTTCTTGGTGCTTTGTCGTGACGATATTTATTAATTCGTTTCTAGAATTCGTAATTTCTTGTAGCTGCTGATGGAGAGAAGCTTCTCGCTGCTTCAGTTCTTCAAATTCCTTACTACTGCTTTCCCTTACGTCTACGTCCATATTATTGGTAGAAGTTTCCTTATCCGTCATCGACATATTCTTAAAAATCTGTTGATTTTCCTCCATGGCCAAATTTTCGTACTTTTTCAGGCCTTCCATAACTCTAAAGTTATCTTCGAGAGACAACTTTTTTAACAGGTCCCCATTTTCGTCTATCGCTAGTTTTTCATATTTTTCCAGCTTAGTTTGAAGATCTTCGACGAGAGCTTCGAAATTTTTTATTTGCTCTTCCCTCTTTGCATTGTGAATTTTGAGTATCTCATGTTCTTCGATGAGCTTGTTGTTCTGCCTCTGCAACTCTACGTAAGAGGTCTCGAATTGCCCCAATTCTGTATTCACTTTTTTCAAAGACACCTCTAAATTATGTTTTGTCTCGGATAAGGCCATAACTTCTTTACTAACGGTGTCATACTGAAGCTTCAAACTAGTTTCGGCCATTTTCGCGTTTTGTAATTTTTCAGTTAAGGTCCTCACTTGTATTTCAAATCGTTTTCTACTGTCTTCCTCTTCTAAAAGCTTTTCTTTGAAAATAAATAATTCCGTTTTAATATCCTCACAATTTTTACAACTTTCTTCATACAATGTTCGTATCTGATCATTTTCTTTGGCCAGTAAGTCCAGTTTCTTTTTATAAGCTTCTATTTCTTCATTTAAACCATCAATACTGACATTCACCTCGCTTAGTTGATACTCAGTGTTTTCATAATCCACTTTTATTTTCTCTACATTAGATTTTAGGTTCTGGTTTTCTTCGACTGCAAGTACGAGGTTCTCTCTGGCATTGTCAAAGTCCGACTTCAAGGATTCGTATTCTATTTGAAGCTGATCGAAACTACTTAAAAGTTCATGGTAGTCTTTCTCCTTCTTGGTTATTTCAGTTTCCGTGATATTTAGCTGCTGCAAAGCAGTGTCTATTTGGTCGGTTTCTATATCAGCGATTTGTTTTTGTTGATTTTCGAAATCGTCTATGATCTTTTCCAGATCTTCTATTCTTTTATTAGCATTTTCAAGCTGCGATTCTAATAGCACCATGTTGTCCTCGTTAGACTCAGAAATGGTCTGCAGACCAGAATTGTTTTTGTAATTTCCCAATTCGTTAATTAGAAGTTCATTATTCTTTGCTAGCTCGTTGCATTCGTTTTCGTAATCTTTAATAGTCTCGGTCTTGGTAATAACTTCTTGGCTTAGTATTTCAGAATTCTGTATCAGTTTTTCGATTTCGTGATTCTTCTCAGTTAAAATTTTAGTTTTCTCTTCGGATAAGTCGTATACTTGCTTCTCCAACATCTCACACTTACATTTGAAGTCGAGGAGAATTTTCAAAATATTTTCTACCTGCTTGCTAAATTCAGCTATTTGGGGGCTATCTTCGTAGTAGCAATGTTGAAAGTCCGACGGCTTATCGCAGTCTTGAAACTTTTTTATGTTCTCCGTTATAATGTTTACGTATTTATTATGTAGCTCGAGCAGGAGACGTTCTTGACTTTTCTGTATGTCGTCTAATTCGCGTTTAGCTTTAACTAAGTCACCATTTTCTGTTTTAATATATGATTGTAATTTTGAGTTTTCATCTTTTAAGGCGTTTACTTCCTCCAATAACGCGTTCATCTGCGTTTCATGATTTTTAGAAAAGTTTTCTAGGTCCTTGGTTTGTTGCAAATTATTCTCTGAAAGTGTATCGTTAGCAAGTTGTAAGTCTTTATTCATATTTTTCGCATGATCTATCTCTGCTTTCAACAAATTTAATTCCTTCTGGTGATCTTCATGAGAGCTTTTCAGGTCTTTTCTTAATTTTTCTGCAACTTCTTCGTTCGGGAGACTTAACTGCACCTTTTCGTTTCTAGCCCTCTCATTTTGCAGTTCTTCTTTTAAAGCGACTACTTGTTTTTCGTAAGCTTCCAGAATAGACGCCAATCTCTCACAAGTTTCAGTATCTTCGGAACTTTTTTTCTCGAAACGTTTCGCATCTTCCTTGGATTTTTGCAGTTCTGCATGCATTTGCTTATTTTCAATCTCTAGTTGCTGCATTGTATTTATGTTGTCTTCTTTGTCCGCTTTAAAATCCTCAATTGTTTTTTGAAGCGTCGCATTTGAACTCTTGAGAACACTAAGCTCTTTTTTCAACTCTTCCTCTTCCATTTTTAACTTCTGATTAACTTGCAGAAGACTCTCGTATTTTTCATTATATCCGTCGTCAGCATTATTAGTTCTCTGCGTTTTCTCAAACCTTGCCTGAAGTTCATTTAATTCCAATTTTAACTTTTCGTCTCTCGACCTGTGTTCTTGCTTCAATCTGTCTATTTCGTCTTGTAAATCGTTATTTTCTTCCTGCAACTTGTCCTTCATTCCAACGACTTTGGCCAAGTTTTGTTGATTCTCTAAATCTAGCTGTTCTAATTGTCCCATCAAATCATTTTTTTCTGCTTGCAACTCGGCTACCTGTGCTTGTAATTTTGGTAAAGCAGAATCTTTAGTGACTGGCTCATTACCAGTGTCCCAATTCCAATTCTCTTCCGAGTGGTTGCTCTTAGTAGACCCATTTTTTTGAACCTGTAACAATACAAGTATTTATCAGCAAAATTATATTTTCCGGTATTTTATTTCTTACTTGTCGCAATATGTAGGAGTTGGTACAAGGTTAACAAATTATTGCTTAACAATAAAACAAACAAGCTAATATTAACTACGAAATTGAAGTAATTTTCAATCGAACATATTATTTATTACTTCACTTTCCTGCTGTACTTTTAGCTTTGCTATAAAAATGTGCGCCTGCTTAACATTTTGCCGGTACACATGATAAGAGTTTATTATTATCAAGCGCTTACAGTTTATATTTACATAATAATCAGCATTATTCGTCATACATAAAGTACACCATATTGTGTTACTTAGTCTATGAATGGTGTATCCTATTACATTCAACTTTGTCATTAAAAAAACTGTCTCTGCCTTAGATTTCTGTTAAATGTAACATACGAACAAAAATATCCGTAATTTAGTACCTAGCCAACTCATGTACATTAAATTATTATTAATGTATTACTATTACAGAGTACAATGTTTGCATTTGAATTTCAAATTACAGAAAGATTAAAAAATGTAAGTAAACTTGGTGTGGTAGTTTTTCATTCCACAAGAAAAGTTCAAAATTGGCATTAGTGGTACAATTGTTGAAGAAACATCTAATGTGTCGAAAATTTTAAATAACTCGAAACTATAATATACAGGGTGTCTCAATATTTCACAAATTCTTGGGGTCTAAAAGCTAAACTAACTTCCCACTAAACACGAAACGTAAATGAAACGTTGCAAATGAGATGTTTTACTAAACATTTGAAACATTAACTAGAAACGTTTCTGTTTCATTACAGAAATGTAGCACTTGAAAACTTATTTAGTGAAACATAGCCGAAACGTTACAATTGAAGAGAGTTTGAAACATTAATCTCGGAAACATAACAGACGAACAACCCTTTGCTATTTTTGCTATGGAACAATCGGCATTAGTTAAATTTTGCTCTCAATCCCCAATCCTTCTCAAGCGTTAGTTCATTTGCCTTTGTTATATAAAGACATAATTAGAAAAAAAAATGTGGTAGCATATTTATAACACAAGTCTAGAAAAAATGTATGTTCGTGACTTGCGTAGACTGCGCGTAACAGCCCGAGTTTATTTGTTTCCCGTGTGTCGTTTCAATTCGTATTATGTTAGGTTAGGTTTGCGGTTTGTCAGTTTGCTTGGTTTCGTTGTTATTCATCTTTACTTTGACGCTATTTTATGTGATAATTTGTAGTGTGTGCAGTTGTGGTTATTGTAAGGTGCATATAAAATAATGAATATTGATGCAAAATATTTAAAACGATATGTGTAGAGATTTCCAATTTTCCGTCACATCTACCTAAATATAGTTATACCCACTACCTATTACAGACAAGAGGACAAGGGGACAAGAACTAAGAAAATGGAACAACAACTATACGTTTCGATATAGTTTGAAGAGCAACTACTTAGTCAGTGAGAACTATTTGAAATATGGATGAATCAAGTGAAATAGACGTCATTTATTTTATATTTTGTACAAATGTTTATATTTGTTTATGTGTATAGGCATGCTTAAATAAAATAGTTTAGGTATACCTACAGATATTTACTTTGTCAAGATATCATTTTGTATCCTTATTTCTGCTGTATAATTTATTATTATTAAAAGGATATATGTAATATTGACCATGCGTAGAAGAAATTATAACTTTATATTATTTTTCAGTAATGTTATTTGTTTTTCATGTACCTTACCATTTCAAGATTCATAATCATAACTAACTTTTTCTAATTATCAGTTCGTCATTGTTACCATATTCATGATGGTCTCAACATTAGAAAATTTTCATTTCAGAAGCGTATTATTTGAACAATATAAAATGTGTAGCTTTTTTTAATGCTTCTGATATTGTTTTGTGATATTTTTATTTGTACGATGAATGGCAAAATTCGTAATCCATATTAGAAACTTTTTTCAGTGGTTTCTCAAAAAGAAAGAAATTCTTAGTAAAAGTTGCCGCATCCCCGAACTAGAAGAGCATATTTATTTTTTTTAATATATAATGTAACTTTTTTTAGTTCGAATTAAGTCATTCACAATACAAATAAAAATATCACAAAGGAGTATTAGAGATATTTAAAAAAATACACTATTTACACTATTTCAAAAACGCTTTTGAAATGAAAATGATCTAAAGTTGAGAGCATTATGAGAAAAATATGGTAATAAAATTATTATGTTACTCAAACATTTCTGAAAATATACTGAAACGTAAAACAAAAATATCGATGGCATAAATGGAACATAAAAAGAATGTTACCGAAACCAATTTTTTGAAACGTTTCATTGGAAACGTATTTTGGGGAGGACATCTTGGGCTTCTAGAACGTTACCAGAAGGTTGCATGGATTTTTTATGGAACGTTTCAAGAAAAATGGAAACGTTTCTGAAACATGTCAGAAACTGAAAAATGTTTAGTGGGTTGTATCCAGCACTGATTTGTTTGGCCGCTAGGTTGCATTGAAATTGATTAAAAAATTACAAAAAACGATATAAAAGAATATTCTTAAATTTAAATAAAGTAAAAATGTAACATTAGCCGTGTTATTCCTAATGCGCATGTTCGGGAAGAATAGCCTTATACGCAGGTGAGATCTTGTTGATATATCATGGCATTTTCTAGTTCTACCAAGTATTTTTTATTGTTTTTCTTGGTGCTCTGTTGTGTTAGTCTGTTTATCGAGTGTTTTTTTTCTTCAAGTGGTTTATTACGTACTCTTAACCAGAACCAAACTTTTCTTGAATGATATCCTGTTGCGAGGCTACTTGGCTCAGTAACATTGATATAATTTTAATTTCTAATTACTATAAAAGTCAATACTGTTCTATAAATTTTAAAATGTAAATTCTATAATTCTTTTAGTTTGTCACTTGTGGTTTGAAACTTTTTAAATATTCCTAATATTGCCCGAATATCGCGATATTTAAGGTCATGACAAGAATACATTTTTTTGGCACTTATATCCAAAGTACATAACGTCGAAAATCGATCTAGTAAAAATACTGTACAATGTGTACCTACGATGGGGTTGCCTATTATTTGGCGTATGTGGCGTCACTACTAAAAAGGTATATTCTAATGTACGACATGAACTGATAAAAGTGATAAATAACAATACATAGAAATAACGAAGGAAGCTTATCAGAAGTCACATGGAAATGTAAAAATACCCCGCGTCTCCGCCCAGGTGTGCTAAAAAAACACGTGTCCCATAGGGGTACTTAATGGAAATGGAATAGAGCGATATTTCAATGATCCGCATGTCCATGCATATTCAAAGAACAGTTGTAAGGCCTGAACTTTACATCGTCTACGCATACGGGTCACAGGAAATTCGACGGACTAGCGTTAACAAAGGTTAAATATTTGTACCCCTGTATTATTCAGAATATATAGTCACACAAACACGGCCTAAAAGGATGTGGTTAAAAAAGCTTTTTCGAAGTAATTCCGATAAATCTGAAATGTTTAGAAAACTTTTAGAATTTTTAGAGAGCAATACGTTTCCATATTAGCAATATCATAAAGCAACAAGGTTTAATACATTTACAAACGATAATAACAAACCAAATATTTACAAGAATTTAGTACGGTATCAATAAAATTTAACTATTCCTGTAAAAGACATAAAAATTGTCATGGCATGTTATAGTCCAATAAACTAAGCCTTATTAATTTTGAGAATGACAAATGAATGAATTTATCACAGCCTCATTTTCGTTTGACCCCTCTAACTTTTTTGCTGTTTCCTTCATCAGTTATCGATGACAAATTTCAACCAGCGAATTATGTGGGTCAGTGAATGCCAAATTTTAAAATTACAATTACAAATTCTAATCTTTTGTAACATTAAATTATATCATTGGCCCTCTGTCTGCTATTTTTACCTATGTATTACCAACTCCCCATTTTGTTTGCATATGTAGGTGAATGACACAATGTTCTGTTTTATGCAGACAAAATCCGCATTAAAAATTGTAATTTCAACTATGTATAATCACATTAGCTTTACAAAGATTTACATATACTTATTGTACCCCTTAATACAGCTGATCAGGTATATATTTCGCGATTATCTTTAATGGGTATTTCTCATAATAAGAGAAGAAAAAGGTTTTAAATTAGACAATGTGTATTTTTCTGTTTACTTATGTTTCGTATGGCTAACCTTATCGGCCATTCGCCATATTGCTAAAGCGCTCTCACAAAATGTGAAATTCCATGTTACTTCATTCATTGTAGTCTATTCATATTGAAAGTTAAATAAATAAGCTGAACGCCAAGGTGTCAACACAATCCAATTTTAAAGGCAAATAGAATTCAATGTTAAATACCGGTGCACTACCAACATTTCTTTACATCATTCCATTTTGGAAAGGTAAATATACGCCCGTACATATTTAAAAAGTGAAAAGTTGGACAAAATAAGCTATAGCATTATTTATTTAATTATTTAGATATAAATTTTATCAACTTTATAGTAAAACTATATTTTAAAACCGTCATCAATTAAAAAGTTCATTTTTTTGTGCAAAATACTTTACAAAAACAAAATAATAAAGGAATTGAGTGAAATAATATTTGTCAAACAACCAAAACATTGAACACTATCGACCGTTTCATATCATGGCTACGCAGATATTTCTCCCTCGTATATCAGCCAACCACGGTGTCCTCCTCTAAGTACAAGACCCCCCTGGTTACCGCTATCTATTTGCTTTCCATAAAATGTTTACCTTCCTGTGGATTTCGCGCTTAGACCGTTTTTCTAACACCGGAACAGATAAAATGCCTATATCAAACAAGTCCTAGATTAGAACGCGAGCAAACAAGAATGGCTTGATATGATCCGTGTTCCTTTTAAAAATATCGTTGAGAAATTAAATATTTGTTTTGGCGACGGAAAAATTACAACGCCGCACCTATCAGCAGGATTATTATTTTTCAGAAGTGTTAAATGTATGTTGCACGATCCGAAAAACGGGATAAATAGATTTAAAAAAAATTAACACAAAACCGCTATATATTCCTCTGTCCATCATGTAATAGAACTCACCTATAATAGCACTGTATGATAATAATAATGATAAAAGTGTAGGTACTCAAAAATATATCAACCACTGTTAGCATCGTATGATGTACCTACACATCATCTTAATTTTATTAGTGCATATACGAACATTATCTCTTATCGTTAATCTATTGTATTAACAACGTCATAATGTGGTATTTCCAAAATATACAAACATACTTTTCTCCTGTCTAAATTATTACTGAATTTTTTGATATCCTCATACCTATTTAGAAATAAAAATTTATGCGTTTTATAAAAATGTGGCGAGACATATGGTCGACATGAATTTAACAGAATACCGTTTGGTCTTAGTAATGCCCCCCGGTATATTCTAAAGCCTAGTCATAAAAAAACTGTTCTTAAAAAAAATCATGTTGCGTTATCCACTACACAAAACCGAGATTTGCTTGGGAAACTATTTCCATATTTACATGCAAAATATGCAGGAAATTAAAATTCGGGCATTTTCCCCACCCAGATCGATACACCCCACTTGAAATCCAACAGAAATTACGTCTTCCATAGCGTCTCTACTAATTTGCGTTGAACTACGACCAGAGTCACATAAAATCGTAAATTATTCATTTAATTAATTTCCTATTATTATTTCGTAACATTTAATGTTAATCTGACATGAAAGCGCATGGCCTGGCAAGCGGCGAAGCCCTAAAGGGTAGGGGTAGTATCGAACACGAATTCAAGACACTTTCAATCCCCGTTTCGTGTCGAAGGTGTTTCGACGTTGGCGCCAAAGGTAGGTCGATTTTGTCACTAATTTCATAATAAATAGAGCGGGTTTTATTCGAAAAGATTATCACTCTTTCACTTATTAGAAACAGTTAGTTAAATTCCGTTTCACTGATGTACGCGTAAGGAAAAGATAATTGACCCACACAATAATATTCCTTTCATGAACGTCTGCATATCCATTTAATAATCGCGTGTCATTGGAAGCAGTTTAAAGGGTGTTAGTTTTTAATGTATCAACAGTCTGCAGAACGCAACTTCAATTCATTGCTACAAAAACATTACGTAGGCTGTGTGCAAAACATATTTTCTGTTAGGTAAGTCCTTTGCATGTATAAAACCTGAGAACACCCCTTATAAAACGTGCCCCACAATTTTAAAACTCCTGGATACACAAACAAATTTAAACCGTTATTTTTAAAGCTACTGATAAACTATGAAGCACATTTTGGAGAACATTTTGCAGAAAATTTTATTGTTTTTTACAAAAATCTTCCTAACTCGTTTCTATAACAAAAATAGTTAATACATAGTCAAAGGTAAAAATTAGAACCCCTAATTCGATTTGACTAATCAATATATGCAGATTGAAGCAAGAAATACAGGATTCTTATTAGTCGTTTGAATGCTTATACTATGTACTAACACATCTATTCAAACCTATATGTAAAATCCACATATCGATTTGCCTTTACATTTAATAGAGGCAGATGTCCTTTCGGTTTAATTTAAAGTATCGAGAAACGCCGAATTGTTAAAATAATTTGCTTATTTCATTGACAATAACAGATGATAAAAGATTTTGTCAACCTCGGGTGTGACAATATAAAACGAACTAAAAAAAAAATTGGTCTTATTTACGGTTATGTTAATTACAATACATGATAATGTAAGCCTTAATCTGCTGACTCATCAAGTGAATATGTACCGAGTTTGTTAAATGAAATGGTAATAATTTTGTAAAATTTATAAAATAAATAGATGGTGTGTATATAAATAATGTTGAAATCGGATAGTTGAAGCTAATACATAATCTACTTATTTTCACTTATCTGTCAATAAATTCAGTATCATCCTTGATCATAAGTTTTATAAATACTTTGATTGAATTATATGAGCTATTTTCACCGCTGGTAGCAATTTTCAAGATCAGTGATCGAGAGAATATTATTGTTTTATAAAATATTTAAGTTTAACAAAAGAAGCAACGAAATAACAATCAATTTTAACTGTAAAATTTCCAAAAAAGATTACATTATTCTGCTTGTGCAGAAGAGATTCATAGATTAAACTGATATTTTTCTAATTTACTAGGTCCAAAAGAGTTTATATGAACATCGATCGTTTCATTCTTTAATTTATGAATTTGACAGTTCTCAAAATAAATTCATTATAGCTGTTTTACATTGACAATTTATTGATCAATTAATTCATGAAGTCGCTTCATCAAGAAATTGGACAAGTGTAATGCACCAAATCTGCTGTCAAATAACTTGACGAGAGCATGTTCTAATTTTCGTCAATTTCTTCGTGAAGTTCGAAAGTACCAACCCAACAGATTTCCAGCCTCAGATCAGTAATGAGGATATGTTATTGGAATATGTAAATAATTGTGTGGCGTCGTACTAGTTTTGCATTGTTTTTACTGATTTGTTACTTACAAACAGTAATATTTATATAATATGTGTCAAAACGGTACCACTGTTGTATCACTACAATTATGAGTGGAAAGGTGACATTTTTGAAATTTATTTGCTTCATTGATTCGTTGGTAGAACTGATTCATGTGTCAAAAAACTTGACAAAGTCTGTAGCAGTGTAAAACCACACTGTTTACCAATAAATTCGTGAATTAATTCATGAAGAACTTCGTCAATTTATTCATCAATAAATTGTCAATGTAAAACAGCTATTACAATAACTATTGTTTTTTATGACCACTATAAATTCGGCTTGTTCCCGTGAAATAACGACACTTAAATAAGGTCAAGCCCTCTTAAATGTATAGGAGGTTCTTCTTAATAAGCTTCCTTTTTACTTCTAAAAGTTGGACCAAGCGAAAAACAAGTGTTACAATTAGAGCTAGACTAAATAGGAATTATTTTTTATAAAGGAAGTAGAATTACATTTACAAAAATTAAATTATACTCGGTGGTGTTCTAAGAAATCATTTAAAAATCTGTTTAGAATTCGTTCAGCGGGAAATAAAATTTCTATACATTTTCTAGTGGCCGAAAACAAAAAATCTGCACACTTTCTGTGAAATTTTCAATTTTATGGACATTTTTGCGATTCTTTGTTCGTAATATATATTTCATGGTTCTCTAGAGTGCGAAAACTACAAAATTATGTAAAAATATCAATGTGTCGTAACATATTTGCTTACGAAGTGCAATCGCATTATTACGAAACACTTACCAGCTTCTCGGTAAGGTGAATCAATCTAAACAGCCACTTATACAACATAAACAGTTACTTAGGTGGGTAGTGCTTGTAAAAATTAAATAAATTATGCGTTATTTGCTTAGAAGCAGTAAAAAGTAGTAAAAGCGCTTATAAAAAAATAGTTAAAGAAGGTCGGCTAGGATCCATAAAAAATTGAAAACGTAGAACAGTAGGCACCTGAATTTTTTCAGTTTTATCAAAAAGGGGTGTCTAGATAATGTATGATCAATTGGTGTAGAGGTAAAGTAACGAATTGATAGTTTGAAAGCCATACTAACATGAACGCTATTCTCTGTACAAACGTATTGTGTTCGTGAGGCTTCAGACGATTGTTATTCGTCAGTCAGTCGAGATATCTGGTTGCGTTAACAGCTACTTCACCCGTAACAAAGACCACGTGTTATTCAATGAACCTCACGAAAACTTTGTACAGTTACCAAATACGGGCCAGTAAATGTTTAAGGTTTGCTCGGTCGTCGTACGTTAAGGGTAAGCATACTTTTATAAGTAAAATGTTCGGCATTAACGCTTATTCCCTTTCTTCCCCCCTTCCGTTTCCCCTTTCCCAGCTTCCCATATATCCACCCATCTTTCAAAAGTTTTCCTATTTGTTACTACTTTCATATCCTCTAAAGTGTTCTCCTCTTTTTGCCCGCCGCTGTTATCTGCTGTATCCTTTTTTCGTGGTCTATCTTTCCTCCAAGTTGTTACATCTGTTGCTTCGTCTACTCTCCCTGTTATTCTGTTTGGTTAGTATGCGTGTATATGGTCTCTATTGACTCCACATTTCAGGTCTATCCAACATGTCGGATCCGAAAAGGGTCCGACCCCTGCTCATATTTGGTCCTTCGGGATCCGGAAAGAGCACTCTGGTCAAGAAGATGCTGGAAGAGTTTCCGGACAAGTTCGGCTTCTCCGTGAGCCACACTACCAGAAAACCGCGGCCTGGTGAGGAGCACGGCAAACACTACCACTTCATAGACGTGGAGAGCATGAAAAGGGCCATAGAAGAGAGAAAGTTCTTGGAACACGCCGTGTTCAGCGGGAACTACTACGGGACCAGCAAAGCGGCTGTGGAGGAAATAGCAAAGCAAGGTAATTTGTTTTAGTATAGAACTAAACAACAAAGTGACAAAGTCACTGTAAAAATAATTTTGAACTTTTGGATCCCACTTGTTACTTATATTGAGACCTTCGTTTATTTTCTTTTTGTGTTTCCAAACATTGTACATACGCCAATTCTTAGAAGTACTGAAATTGAAATTTATAATGGATTTTTCCCCATCAATATGACATTACGTTTGAGTAAAAGTGCTTGTCACGAACGAAACATTCCAAATCTTCCAAATTTCCCAACTCTAAGTAGAATGACCTTCGCTGTCAAAGAAATTGTACTTTTTTGTGTGGTTCAAAGAACCGGCATAGAATCTTACCTCTTGACAACCATTTTAGATCTGAAAGAGGCCGAGAAAACACAGATTTTGACTTGATAAGTTCTACTAGCGGCTTTCTTGCAATTAGAGGCTCCACTTTAGTCATCTCCGATAAATCAATTGAGTCTATATCAGCTCCAGTTTGACATAAATTTAACAAATTGTTTCATTTTGAAAAATATTGTTATTTCTTTGCGGACAAACAAAAATATGTGACGGGCTCCAATTCATCTTACTTCCAGACAAAGTCTGCGTGCTGGATATAGACGTGCAAGGGGTGAGGCAAGTGAAGAAGACGGACCTAAACCCGTGGAGCGTCTTCGTAAAGCCCCCCTCCATGGAGTCGCTGAAGCAACGCCTCGTCGACAGGAAGACGGAAACGGAGGAGAGCCTCGACAAGAGGCTGAGCAGGGCCCAGGAGGAGATCGAGTACGGCACGACGCCCGGAAACTTCGACCTGGTGATCGTGAACGACGACCTGGACCGCGCCTACAGCCAACTGAGGGAATTCGTTGTCGATAAGGTCTTGAAAAATAAAGTGACGTAAAAGCAGCCGAGTTTATTTGTTTTATTTACGGCGGCAGATTAAGGTTTATTGCAACGCTTAGGAATGATGATAAGTCGGGACGCGTTGCTTAACGGTGAGGCTAAATGTTTATAATTTATTTTTACATTTAATATGAAAGAGGCCGAAGGCGTAAGGAAGATAGACGTTGCATAAAACTACAGCGATTTTAGAATAACTTTTTCCGTAGTACTTTTTTTAGTAAAAATAATAATCAAAAATCACTGCGATTAATTCAGTGTATTGACTAAAGCGGTATTTTGAAAACGTAGATTTTTTTCAACAACAGTATAAATTTCTAGACGATAAACCTGGTTTGTGCTGTTAAATAAAAAATTGGAATAGGTAATGAAGAAATGGAAAAATATAAACATTTATATGAAGTAAACGCTGTCAAATTTGCTGTCAAATATCGCGATGCCATTACCTAATTTAGTTAACCAGAAAATATGAAAATATTGCTGTTTGAAATTGTATCGTAAGTCTAAAAACTAAGCGTAATAGTTATTTACACCAGAAGTATTATTTACCAGTGGAGGACGATTTTGCGCCCGAGCGGAGCTGGGGCTGGAAATAGAGTCCGAGACTGGTAAATTATACTTAACTGCTGCGTGGTGTATAACATTTTATCTGCCTCCACAGTTTTCTCTGGTTCATGAAATAAATATTAGGTTGTATTCTTTGACGTTTCTTAAACAATTCATTTTGACATTATTCGAAATCTTACAAAGTCGCCTTAGCTGTTTGGATTTTTTCGTTTCTCAGTTGTTTATAAACAAAACTACATAAAAGTTGCAATTTGCTGGTTTGGAATTATTCTTTATGAAAATAAGTGATTTTCAAATAGAAAGTGAAGCAAGGCAAGTTTGTAGAGTGAATACTCAATGATTAAATCAACTATTTGGGTATATCAAAATACCTGCTGAGAGCATTTTTGAAACGTAAGAATGACGGCTATACACCTAAAAAGTCAAACGTTTTTACAAGAGAACAAGTCAACGATTTTCTCGTTCAGGCACCCGATAACACATATTTGCTAATAAAGGTAGTGACGGTCTTTGGTATTGCAATTTCAAAAATGTCGATAACACTATTGTAGTTACTGAAATTTCACGCTTTTTTATGCGCCATCAAGCAGGTAGGTGTTGCAACCAACCAGTCAGCAAGAGTACCGTTTCTATGATTTCTAATAAGATTGCACAGTTTTTGAAACTAGAACATCCTGAAACATATACAGGCCATTATATCCGAAGAACATCGGTAACGTTACTGGTTAATACAGAAGTTGATATATTAGCAATCAAGAGACATGGTGGGTGGAAATCAGCCACAATTGCAGAAAGTTATGTTGCTGACAGTTTAAGTACTAAAAATGAAATAGTGAACAAGATTCTTTTCAATGACACCTCAACCCCAGGAGGTTCAAGTAGTACGTCGCATCATGCTGTTTTAATGGATCAGTCAGATAATATTGAGCCTTCGGTGACTGAAATGGAGCGTGCAAATCATTTTGAGTTACAAATTTTTCGATGAAATGAAAATTTAGATTTCCAAAACGAGTAGGTATGTGCGAATACGACGAATTTAATTTAACTTCAATAAATCGCCCACAAGCGTACACAATGATAAAGAGGCATTCAAGCGCATAGTAAACAAATTGAAGTCGATACGCAGGTTAAGAGTTGGCTTTCAGTAAATATCCTCGTACGAAAATAAAACCAACTGTTTTTTAGAATGATATTGGTTTTAATCGATACTGCTTATGAATGTGTTTTGAGACGAACGCCTACTCATTTCAATTATAGAGCGTGACTTTCGACAGAAAATGTACACAGAGTTATCTAGTTAAAAAACTAAGATGACACACACTTGAAGATAACGACCAACATTGTTTCCTTTATCTCAATTTTACCCATACTTTTACTACCCAAACGTCAATTAGTGAAGCGGAATTACTTACGAAATAATGAAATAGTAAAGCAAATAATGTCCCATTTGCCCAGAACACAAAACAAGCAATTTAGACTAAAAAACCCGTTTAATGGATTAAATAAATCTAGTTTTCCATTAAGCGCTAACACCCTATTTTAAATAATCCTCACTGGCCTTACTGGTACTTTAGGCTGTACCATAAACCCCGATTATTTTTTTTGATAAGTAATTTTAATTATAGTGTCGCACCATTTGAAGATATCAGCTACGGAAGTGGTCTTTATTAATTAATCGTTAAAATTTTGTTGGATAATGATAACTTTAAGATAAAGGAACTGTACAATACAAAATGTAATTCGATAAAGTATCGAAATGTTGCACAACATTATTGGATGTAGGTGTCGTGGATTAATCTATTTTTTCATTAAACAGCAAAATAAAATCACACTGCTATGAGAAAGTTATTTCGATCTTTTCACTGCTTTGAAAGTTAAAATTTCTGTAAATTAATATTTTTATCAATGTCAGGCAATTTTATTGCATGAATCATTCAAAGGGTCATTTTAGATTGAAAAACCGTGGATTACTATTAAATTAGCGGGTGGAAATTGGAAATAAGGGTGAAAATGCACCCATTTCAATTTTTGGATGGGAAAAATTTTGTAGAGAATTGAATTTCCCATCGAAATGGCTTATTTAAAAAATTTAAAAGAAAAATTTATGCAAAAAATCGTTAATAGACAATTTGAAAAAAAGCAAAAAATTCGATTTTTTTATTTTTTTTTTTACTTTTTTGCCTCTAGTTTTTTTCGAGTAAAAATAGGTAACAATTTCATAAACAGCAAAAATTAAGATTTTTTTATTTTTTTACTTTTTGACTAGTTGTGAAAATCTTTAATTTATTATTAACAAATAAAACTTTTGAAATAATTTTTTATTAAATAAAGAACCAATTTATTGTAAAAATAATAAGAATTATAATCATTACTATGTTAAAAACGATAAAAATCTAAGAAATATTTAAGTTTGACCGGTTATAATTCAGTCAATATTATTTCAAAATCTTTTGAAAGCGCATCATTTTGAAGGGAATCTGATCTAGTTTTTTTGTACAGCAATTTTCTTTGCCTACTATTAAAAAAAAATACAGTCAAAAAAGTAAAATAAATAAAAAAATCTTATTTTTTGCCGTTTTTAAAATTGTTTATTAACGATTTTTTGCTTAAATTTTTCTTTCAAATTTTTTAAATAAGCCATTTTGATGGGAAATTCAATTCTCTACAAAATTTTTCCTATGAACTATACCGAAATTTTGCTTCGTTTTATCTTTAACTTTAACTAACTTTATCTACTTTTTTTTCTATGAAGCAATGCCTATACCTATCTTTACTCAAAAAAAAACTATTGCAAAAAGTAAAATAAATCTAAAAATCGATTTTTTTTTCTTTAAATTGTTTATTAACGATTTTTTGCATAAAATTTTCCTTGTAAATTTTTTAAATAAGCCATTTTGATGGGAAATTCAATTCTCTAAATAATTTTTCCTAAGAACTATAAGTGGAATTTTGCTTCGTTTTCGAACTACAATAAAAAAACTGAAAGGGATGCATTTTCACCCCTATCTCCAATTTCCACCCGCTACTTTAATAGCATTTCGCGGTTTTTTGATCTAAACATGTAATAAAATATCTTGAACCTCATAGTTCCTTTTAAAATCCTTTTATCAATAGCCTACTACTGATCTATTCATTTATACATAGAAACATCCGTCCAATGCGCTACTTTATTGGATTTTTACCGTTCCTTAATAAAATTTTACCAGGCCATAAATCTAAGCTAAACTAAACGACCACGGTAGACTGTTTTTCGTTTTCTAGTCCGCTACATACGCCGAGTCAGCATAAACTTTGCCCACATAAAGCGCCCTTCTTACAAGAACAATCGTAACAAAACACCTGCTAGTTCTAAGTTCACGTACTCGCGTGCATAAACATCGAAATAAATGGCCTTAGGCGTCGGTGTGTTACGTACGGAGTAATGAATTTGCTAATAATGTGCTGGTACTAAAAATGCTCGTCACAAATTTTTGTCGCGAGCACACAGGCTGATCCGAAATGTCCCCCAATGTTTGTCAATACAAAATTTGTCGAGACTGTTACGGAAAAATGCACTCGTGTTTAATTTTATTATATCAAGATATTCAGGGTGCATTTTGGATCAGACATTTCGAATAATTTCCGTAAGACAAGTAAGACTTTTGTTGCGCTAACGATTGAATGTATTTTCTAGGTTTTTGTTGAAGCAAAACGCAACAGGATTTCAAGAAAATATTTGAAAATAAATATCGAATACCATGTGCGAAAATAAAACTAAATAAGTGTGCAAAGATAACACCAAATAGATGCCCTAAGTCTAAGTTAAACGTTAAGAATATAACATTTTACCATCCTTCTTAAACTTATATATCTCCCAAATCTTCCATCCTTGACGGAAACAAGAAAAAACAGAGGCATATGTATAAATGTCTTTATACAAATGCTTGGAATCAGTTTTTAAATGGTTTTTGTACACGTTTTTTTTATGTTTCAAGGAAAAAGTATGTAGGCCTGTATTAGGTTTGCTTAGGGCATTACTATCCTACAGAAATGTGTCGTGAAACTGAAGTTTTTGATCAACTGCTCAACAACTGCTGCAGACACAGACTTTAAATATGATACCGTGAAGTTTCTTCACTCTATTTACTTACAAGGAAAATTATAAGAAAAACTAAGTTTAAAATTGTGTTTTAAAGATGTATTAAAGATATGGTTTAACTGGATTCAAAATTAAAATGTCTAAACCGAAAAAAATTAACGTTTTCGACATATTGCTTATTGAAAATAAAAAGTAGGGATAAAAAGACTGCAAAAGTATCGATTTTATGAAAAAGTTACCTAAAAGGAAGACATTAGACTACCTGTTGATCGCACTCTCGACATATTTTGAACATCATCAACTAGTCACTACTAATTATTTCTTACTAAACAAAAAGGTTCTCTTTCTATTAATTTTTT